GGCAATCGCCCAATTAGAATTGCCCACCATAAAATTGCAAGCGCCCAGCCCCATTTTCCGATTCCCCCCTCCATTCGATCTCGCGAATTGAATGATTTTCACATGACTCGAATAAAGCAGATATTATTCCAGCTGGAGCAAAGTGCGTCCATTTGGGGACTATCAAAATTTTTCCACCGTCCCAATTAGAGCAATTAGTCAGTTAATTAAATGGCCAATCATTTGTGGTTTGAGGTTTTGGTCTGGAATGCGGTGTTATGTCTGGCGATATCTTAAACGTGATCCAATCAAAGTCCCAATAACCCAAAAAAGCAAAAACACATTAATGGACCCTCATTGATAACTTCTTTAATTGCTTTTAAGTGAAGTGATTTTTAAGGAGTTTGTTCTTTTTCAATTTAACAATCAAATAGCTAAATGGTTATGTCTTTTTGCGACTTGGAAGCTTTAAGGACTTGAGTGGATAACTCTTACTTTTTCGATTGTTGATCTTATGCAAGTATCTACATATTTGTGTTCAAAAGCCAATTATGCCGTAACCATTCTTGAAATGTAACATTGTCGTAGAGTTTACTGCCTCTTTAAATATTTATTTTACCATCACTAAAATTCAATAATTGCAATTTTATGTCTTGCAACTTTTCTAATGACTCAGTAATGACATTAAGTGTTTACTCTTTGATATAAAGTAAAGGTAAACAATTCCTGCATGCTTGGGATGAGATTGCAAATAACCTTGCTTAGCAGCAATTAGTATGCATTTTTGAATACTTCTGACTATTTGCCAATTCTCTTTTTCAACAAACCGCATCGCGTCTGAAAGCACTGTACCCTGTACCTAATTAAAGTTTGTACTACTGTTTGAAACTTTTCAGTTTTTGCCAGACAATCGCCCCCCTGAAACCTCCGATTTCCCGCCCCATTTCGGGTCCATGGCGGTTTTATCTATTGCGTATTGCCCGTAGTTGGAGAAAATGTACCCCGAACGCGTATCTCTTTCTGTCTCTGGTATTCTGTGTGCTTTTAATTAAACATACATCAGGTCTGGGGCTGGGTGACGGTCTTTGGGGTGTAAGCTAATATTTACACATGACTATATATAGACCCTTGATCGGCGTGTTTTTCCTTAGAAGTCAGCAGCCAAAACAAACAGCTAAAGTAAATTTGCTTTCTCTTCTTTTCCCCATGCAGACTTTTGCGGTGTTTGCGCCAGCAATCGGCAAAACCGGCAGCGGTAATGGGCCAAAAGGAGGAGCAGCTCCAGCCGGTGCACGGCCACCACATGCTCAAGGACATGTCCAAGGGCGTCCGGGATACCACCGTCAAAATACTGCTACTAGGCACCGCCGAGTCCGGCAAAACCACAATCATAAAACAGATGCGCATACTGCATATCAATGGATTTACAGACGAGTAAGTGTTATAGTTCAACAAAATAAATTTTCAGATTTAAATTATAAACTTTTATTTTACAAAAAATAACTTTGATAAAATTGCCTTTAAAATACTTATAGTATTTGACACAAAACTATAGTTTCAAAACAATTCAAATGTTTTGATTATGATACAGAGAAATGTTATATTAAAATTTGATTTTTTTAAATAGAAGTTTTGATTCGATATTTTTTATACTCAAGGACTCTTTTTCATGAATTTGCAGTGAGCGGCGGGAGAAGATCCCCGAGATCTATCAGAACATCCACGAATCCATTCTTCAGCTTGTGGCCCAGATGGGACTGATGGGAATCGATTTCGGCAGCTGTACCAGCGAGCGATCGGCCGACTATATCCTCTCCCTGCCCGGTTCGGCCCCCGAATACATGAATGAGGTGAGTTTCGCAGCCGTCAAGTATACCTATCTGTATCTTATCCCTCGCTGCACTTCAAACTCTGTTGTCGTGTTGTCGCAGCTGAAAATACATACTCGTAGTAGGGCTAAAAATCCAGGCAAACGACTTTGAAGTCGCCTGGGACTTGCGTCAAATCTCTAGCGGCTTTCGAACGTATATTCGTTATCTGGCCGCGGCGATTTGATTGATAGCCCAAGGCATCAGGCGGCGTGGAATGTGTTGAAAACTTTCCGAACAAGTGTTTTGTAAATCGGACTTCCTGGCCCAACAATTGGTTTTGTTTGTTTCATTTTTGTTTCAAGCTTACCGCAGCTGCATAGGCTTATGAATGTGATTCATGCCACGCAATCACTTCTATCCATCCCAAAGATATCTACTATACCCAATGGTCATTATATGGCTTACGATAAGATTACCAAGGCTGTTGAAGTCTCCAAGTGGGCGGGGCGTTTCTAGATCTTGATGCCAGTCATTCATGGTTTTATGTTTTACCAGTGAGTAATACCGAGCCTATAGAGGAGTACCGAAGTTTGGGTTCCCCTTAACAAATTTATGACAGCTGTTTGAATACGTGACTCGATTATCGGTTATCACTTTTCTTCGGAAGGAAATATTAATATCAGCTCAAAAAAAAAGCTTGGCTAATGTTTTAATCTGTTTTGCATTTTGGAAACTTTTAATTTTCTTTGTGCAGTCACTTTTGCACGTAATTTTTATCCCGCCGGCAGGGTCCTACATATATCATATATACTGCAAAAAGACAGTTAGACAGTTAGACAGTCTTACATCAGGGTTAGCTTTTGTATTTGTCTGTCTTTGTGACTTCTGCACACTTCCGGTGAACAGTTGATATACCCCTTATCAGTATATGATAAACACTACTAAATTTTGGGTTACTTTTTCTATATTTTTAGGAGTACTGCGACCACGTCACTACTCTGTGGAACGACGTGGGTATTCGCGCCTGCTACGATCGCTCGAGTGAATTCCCCCTGCTGGATAGCGCTAAATAGTAAGTATTTTTTTAAAACTATATTTATTCTAAAGCATCATACTAAAGTAAACCTTTCTCTTTCTCCAGCTTCCTGGACAACTTTGTGAGGATCAGCGATGCTGAGTACATACCCAGCACCGAGGACATACTGCACAGTCGGAAGATAACCACCGGCATCTCGCAGATCACGTTCCGTGTGCCCATTCCCAAGAGCATGGGTGGTGGCGACCAGGAGTTCCGCATGTACGATGTCGGTGGCCAGAGAGATCAGAGGAACAAGTGGATCCAGGTGTTTGAGGGGATACAGGCGGTGCTGTTCCTGATCTCGTGCAGCGAATTCGACCAGAATCTGCGCGAGGATCCCAGCCAGAATCGGCTGCAGGAGGCTCTGAAACTCTTCCGGGCCGTGTGGCAGAATCGATTTCTCGCCTCCGCCGGACTGATCGTGTTCCTCAACAAGTACGACATCATGGAGCGGAAGATCCGGGCCGGAAAGCACATTGTGGACTACTTTCCCGAGTACGAGGAGTTCTGCAAGCGACCGCAGCAGGACAATTGCTTCGACGAGAGCGACTGGACGAAGATGTTCATCAAGCAGAAGCTGGTTGACATCACCCAGGAGCCATTCAAGCGCCACTCGCGGAATCAGGTGGATCTGGGTACCTCGGAAAGGGAGTGCTACTACCACTTCACCGTCGCCACCTCGACGCGCTGCATCCGAGACGTCTTTTGCGACGTCCAGAAGATGATCCTATCGGAGAATGTGTCCGGCATGGGACTCCTCTAGTTCTGATCTGTGACCGGATCGGAGAGCTTCTCAATAAAAATAAGGGGGGCCAACCACAGTCCCCACCAACTGTGATCTAGTAGGTTATGACTTAAGTAGCCATGTAGGACCTTAGATCGTAGTGGCATTGTAGGTTATACGTTGCCTGGTATAACGCTTTAATATGTTTAAATGCAAGGATATAGAAGTAGCCTCTCAAGGAATGCTCTCACTACTCTTTCAACTACTGTGTAAACTCCAAAAGAATATAATATTTATAATAAAACCAAACCCAACACCCACTAATTTGAAAAGTCGAATTTATTCTTAATGGTGTATCTGGTTTTTCTATAGAAACAGTGCGAAAAAAATCTACTGGACATGGTATGAACTGGTTTCCGTTATTATACTCTTTCAAATTATTTTTTACTTAAAAGTGCTTTGCATGGAGTTTGAACTAAAATGTTAGGTTTCTTATAAATTTCCGTCGTCGTTTTTATTTAAATCTGGAAAGCCAGATAGGTTTGTGACGTGGCTAAGCTTTTAGCAGGTAATTACCGCCAAAATTGGAAATGGCCTCCCAAAAAAACCCGATACGTAACATTTTAGATAGAAAAACGTTTTCGTCGTTTTTTCTAGATGAAATATAAGCTGCCTATGCTTAGATTCAAAATGTGGTCAAGTCTGAGATAATTTTTCGACATTTTTCAAATGAATCGGAATGATTTTTATGTGCATCCTATAAGGAATGAATCGTACAGAAATATTAAGTTTCAACATCTTTTTAACAGAGGCACAAAAATAAGAGCCCGAAGTAGAGTGAAAGTGGCACCCACACTTTAGTATGACCGCGAAAGTTCCACAAAAAAATACCGAGTAGGTTTAAAAGCACCAAAACTATAAAAGATACTTAAATATCTCGTACAATATAATGAACAATGCAGATGTATTTGTAACAAAATAATTATTCTACTTTATTTATTTGTTCTTGCTTACGAACAAAAGTTTGTCGACAACTGAACAACGAAAAATTTACGTGAAAAATGTCGGTTCTATGCAGCTTTTTATTATTAACTACTTTTCAGATATCGGTCCACGTCCATGACAGCTTTTTTTAATCTCATAAGTAAATAGTTTTGTTTACTTTCTAGATGTCCTTTCAGTATTTAAAAACGTTTTTATTTATTTTTAAACACTGCTTACATGTTTATTGTTGAGGGCTTTGTATCTGATTTAAAGAGGAAAACGTTGATTTTTAACTTTCTGTTGGATAGTCCAAGTTCTAAGCCACCGAGGATCTCAACCACCCAAGTTCTCAACCACCAAACCAATCGATGCTGGCATCGATGTTTCGCTACCTCTTCTGCACCCCCTAATACTCGTATATAAGCAACCGCAAGCCAACCGTTCATTCGCTTTGCGCCGGCAATCCGAGTAGATTTTTAAATTGAATTGAATCGCTGGACGAAAAGTGTGTGCACAGCCGTGAGTGGTGCGATCCAGCCAATTGATATTGCGATAAGGAGCGGCGAGTAAAAGTAATTACCTCATAGCCATCACCGTTCGAAAATAGTAACCGTGTTTTCTGTGATATCTGTGTGAGTGCGTGCATGTTTTGTGGTGGTTTCATTTCCTCCTTATTTTGCGCCCCCTTTTTCCGCCGATGCTGCGAGAGAGAGAGAGACGAATTTCTCATACTTTTGCTGATTTAACTGTGTACTTTATCGATTCGGAAACAAGAAAAACCGAAAAGATCGCGTTTTTTGCAAGAGAGCAAAAGAGAGATATAAGGCGAGATTTTAGAAGCATAAAAACCAATCCGCTAAGTGGCCCGAAAAAATTTCACTAGAAATTTTTGAAAGCGCTCGCGCAAAAAACCGGATATGTTACTCAGAAAGAAACAACAAAAAGAGCTTCCAAAGCGAAGCTTACACAAAACGAAATCACCTGTGTACAAGTGAGAGTGCGTAAAAGTGTGTGTGGCTTAGTCGCGTGTCTGGCATACAATTAGGCATTCAAACTAATTTCCCTCCCACCGGCAAATTGTGCCCGCCTCATTTGTATTTCGGCTGATTTGGCTGTTTGCTTATGCATGAATTCCTTACGAGTTCTTTTTATTCGCACGAGACTTTGTAACAAAAGAGAGAGAGAAAGAGAGCACCAGTCTGGCGCTCTCCCTAAACCTCCACAATCACACTTGCCGTTACACCCACCCCCACCCACTACACAGACAGAAAAAAGTATCTGATTTAAGGGTGGCCCTAAGTTCCCCGAGTCCAAAGTTGATAAATTCGTTAGCGCCACCAGAACTTAAGTTTTTCAGAGTACATTTTCTTAGATTTTGATAAACATTTTTTTTGTGACAAAATTCTTTTTTCTGCTGAACTTTGTGGACAAAAAATTTTTGATCACATAAAAACGAAACCATGGGCAGAAGCTGTCCGAGTCAGTTTTTTCTTATGAATATGGAGATGGTTTTTTTCTGTGTAGCTAGTTGTTTGTGTATCTATTTGAGCTTCAGCACGAGGTGTGAAAAGTGTGAAAAGCGGAAGAATGTAGATGAAGATGACCACAAAGCGTGCGCCATTCATGAAAGCGATGCACATCCCGTAGAGAGCGAGCGAGACAGTTTTTGGGGGAGCCACAGAGAGAACGAGAGAGCCTTAGCCTCCATGGACCAGCAGTGTTGTTTAGCAAAATCAATGAAAGAGAGGAGAGAGAGAGGCGAGGTGCGGCGGTACAAAGGGGAAAGGAAGGTCGCCGAGAAATTTATGCGACAAAACGCGCGCTTTAATGTCCCTGTGTATGAGTGCGTGTATGAAAGGGGGAGTGGTGCGGAATTTTTTCTGAATTTAGCTTTAAACATCGCGTGTAAAATCCATTCGCTTAGAGAACAGATAAGATACCGCAATCAGTAAAGTTTCTAAGCCCACAAACACAAAAACTATAAACTTTTTATATACCAACTAAAATCGCACTTAACAAGGGTCCTAAGTATCTGAACAAAGTTTCTTTTGATGTAAAAATAATATTATTTATTGCTCTCCAAACTATGGTTTGAAGACGCTTGCTGCAAAACTTATTAAAAAATAACCAACGCCTGTATAATTAATTGAGTTGTAGTAATGTTAGACATTAAATCAGCAAAAGATATTTTATAACTTGTATTTAAAAATTTTTTTTTTAAAGAGTTTAAGTTAAAATATTATAAAATGAGTAGTCGAAATAAGTATCAAATTGGCACTCTCCAATTAAATCTCTATAATATCTTTGCAATATAGATTTGATGGATTTTTACTTTTCTTCTCCCTTAGGAACCACGTAACATAGCCACCAACGCATCACACAAAACCCACCAAAATGATTAACATGGACATTAGCGTTACGCCCAACTACTCGTACATCTTCGATTTCGAGAACGACTTCATACACCAGCGCACACGGAAATGGATGCTGGAGAATTGGACATGGGTGTTCTACTACTGCGGCATCTACATGCTGGTCATTTTCGGTGGTCAGCACTTTATGCAAAATCGGCCGAGGTGAGTCTTATGTAGTTGCTAGACTTTATGCCCCACCTGTCTCACGATCGAAGACATGTGCTCGTTGCTGGTTGCCAACTCTGCGAAATTATAGTTGGGCCAAGAACATTTGCCCTTGGAACCTTGAGAAGCTATTATCTGGCGGCAGAGGAGCGCCACTAATTGCACCCACAAGTCAACTCGCCCATCGCAGCTGTTATAGAAGTTTCTATTTATCAAAACCAATCCCTGGAAACCCCTATATTTACTCAATCGCACTTTGTTTAAGTTTATTCTCCGGAATGACTGCAGTCCAAGTGCGACTTTGTTATTACCCCAGACAGCTGTTGGACTCCACATGTAATTAAATAAAATTATAGCTAATCAAACGCTAATGCCGAAGGTGGATCCCTAACTCAATCTCAATTACCAAACAATTGCATTCGCACATTAGTACGCACTATTCCGTTTTATTTCCGATATCAACAGAGTTTAGATTTTGCGGAATTTCGGGTTTTTTTTTTTGTTATTTTCCCAACTGTCAGCGCGAATGTCACTTGTTACCTACCTGATTTACCTGTGATGGATTCAATTGGCTATTCGTGCTGACAATTGTCTAGTTGTGTTTTGCTGTTTGCGTTTCTTGTGCCTCCCTATTTCTAATTGTCGTCATCGGGTTTTGTGGCCAAATTAAGTTGGGCTCGTGACATGCCAACTATGGGTGCCTATTCTAGTTTTTGTTTTTTGCCAGATCATAATTTCGTTTTGTCACCTGCTTAGTACTGACTTAAAATCACGCCAAAAGTAGAAATGTTCACATTAAAAATATTTGAACTTTAAACTGTTCCAGTTTTGGCTGGCTTAATAAAGCCGTAAACCTGATTAAAAAAAAACAAATTTTTGTTTAACTATATGATGTATTTAAAAGATATTCCAAAAACAGATTACATAATTTTCAGAGTAGACATTTTTGCCCACACTTCAGCCTACACCCATTGAAATCGGATGAGTTATATAGGGGCTTGGCGTTTCTCCCCGGGGACATTCGTTGTTGTTATTAACTTTACCTTACACTTGGATCTTTATGGAATGGCGTTTTAATATTTACCCACATGGAGGAGAGGCGACCAAACAAACGGACGCACATGACACAGAAAGGTGTGAATTTAATGCAACGGCCATGGAAATGAGTTTCAGGAACGTGGAGGTGGTCACTCTTAAATTAGGCAAATTAAAGCAGGGTTCAAGGGCTGTCTTTACATTGCTTAGGAATATTTTGATTACAGTTATGGTAAAACAATTAGCGCAACAAAGTTTGGTGCCTCTTTAAAAACAATTGCAAAGGCAAAATCTAATACAATGAAGAAAATTTGTATAAATCTTTAGCAAATACAAGATATTTTATAAAAGTTTCAAAAGAAATACGATTTTAAGGCCCACATTCGAAAAGTATAGCTAAATTGGAAAATTTAGATTGAGATCATTTTTGTTTGCAAAATTAATTACACTTTTCAAGGCTTGACTGTCCAGAAACACTTGAAAATGAAATAATTATTAATAAATATAGCGGTCTTACTTTTTGTTCTAATTACCTGACCATAGCTATATGTGTTATGTTGTATAATTTAAAACAAAGTTAAATGCACATGTAATTAATCGAATACCACCGAGTGTGCAGCGCACATACACCGGTATTTACATATTTAGAGAGCGGACTTCCACTTGCACTCCTTATCATAAAAGTTGTGAATGCTTTTTTCCATTTTTTTCACCCGTTTCGGACAGTGCGTCATTAAATTCATTTAACTGATTAGGTTTATAGGTACACGGCATGTCGTACCCGTTTTATTTAACATACCCAACGGACAAAGTTCAGCATGGGGCATATGGCATGTCATGCAAGAAGTGGGTGTGTCCACAATGTCGGGGGTTTAGGAAATAATGCTAAACTAATCTTGCCGGACAGCAGGACATTCACTTATGTACTCGTGCGATTGGTCCACTTCAGCTGGACAGTATACACTAGACAACTCGATTGCATTTCTAAAGGAATTTAATACCAATAATTATTTACCTAGGTTTTAAAGCTGATAAAAAACAGCTTTAATTTCAAAACGTTAAGACGTCGTAACGAGTTTACTTGGCTAATTGTTGTTAAAGTATCATTGCTTTTATAACCTTTACCATAAGTATCTGTATGATTTACAGCAACAAAATTATCTAAAGTAAATTGCTTCTGGTTTATTATTATCGAAAGCTTTTTGCAAACTATAACAGACTTTTAAGTTAAATAATATTTTAATGTGATGGTAAAACATATCAACAAAGGTTTCCCACCCTTTTTTAACATAGAAGCCATTTAACGAAAATCTAAAATAAATGTTATCAGTCGACTAATAAAGTTCTTGTTGGCCAGTGTATATTTAGAGTTTGCGTGTGCAAAAGTTTTGTGGCCATATAAGGAGGGGAAAAAGGGGGCGATATAAAATGGGGTGAGACGAGTGTGTGGGCGCAAGAGCTTACAATAGAAATCAAAAACGAGCATTTTCAAAGTGAAGCGATTGACCGATCTTTGTAATCATATAACATTTTAAATGATTGAGTTATTAAATGGCCTTGGCCTTTTTTTTTTGTTATTCATACATATTCCTCTGAATGATTAGCAACATTTTAATCACAACAACAGGAAATAAGTGTGACGAGGACATCGAAGTACAGAGAAATCCCCGAAACCGCGTTTTTTATTCCACCCTCATGGAAAATGTCATTTAATGTGGTTTTATCACGCTAGCCCATAAACAGTGTCCTGAGATAGTCTGAAAAATATATGTTTATTGTTCAAATGAGGAAATTTTTGCCATGGAAGCGAGGCAATTATATAACTATTTGCGAATTAACCACTAATTGCCGCAATGACAAGCGAGCCGCTTTGAGTTCAGATCACCACCCTCCACAAGCAGCTGCATTCGCAATTACAGCCACAATTATATATTACCAGCCAGCATTTAGTTAATAATTACAAACGCCAACAAGCCAAAAAAAAAAAAAAATAAATAAATAGAAAAACTCACAACGAATAAAGAAAACCAAGAAAAGGCATTGCTGAAAGTGAAACTTAATTTAATTTCCATCGGCCAATGAGTGTGCATATATGTAAATATATTAACATCAAATTAACGACAACCGTTAACACAAACAGTTGGTAAAAAGTGGGCAGAGCTGACAAGCAAATCTTGTTAAAGTGTGTCATTAAAGCCGAATTTCTTTATAGGCTTCAGACTGAATTCATATTTTTCTACATACGATACCATTTTGAGACTCAAAACATAGAGCTTTATGAAAAGCTCTCTCTTGGCGGCCCTTTCTTAGTTCAGCATCTCTATATCACGCCACTTTTCCCCACTTTTTATTTACTACATGCTTCAATCTCCCTCAAAAATAACTCGTTTTATGTCGGCCACCAAAATTGTTTTGACTGGATTTCTGATGATTGAAATAAGTCTGGCTGTTGGCATCTTATCGCTCACCTGCTGCAGCAGGTGTGTCATTCCGTATTGCCCCAAACTTCTAGCCATGAGTCAGCCTGCATCGGCAAAATAACAATTCAGTTTCCCTTTCATCACTAACAATTATGCCGATTAGATTAGGGCTCAAAACTTCTGAAGTACTTCCAGCTGCGAAATATCACGGATTTCTAAATGGTTTCTGCATTGAAACTTTTTAGAATCCAGTTGATATAAGCGTTAATAAAGAGTCATTTGTCATTTGGTTTACTTTTTACGAGGGTTAAGAGAATTTAATTTGAAAATAAAATGGGTCATTGGAGTTTAATTGAAATACCAAATAAGCCTCATTAGCAAGTCGAAACATGTTACGGGAATAAACCTGTTAAGGCAGCTTATGAAGAGGGATTATGAGGTGTATAAAAATTAAAAGAGGAGGAAAATTATATGTAACATGTTGTATCTGGTAAAAAAAAGTGTCTTCATTTTTTCGGATAGCTAAAAGGGTGAATAAACTTTTTCTTATCTAAGTTAGATTATTTTCTGACTTCTAAAATATTTTACAGATGTTTATATGAACAAAACGAATCCTTTTGTCTATGATAACTGCAAGTTCCATTGATTTAAAAAGGGTATAAGCTATCTTAAATAAATCTCCCTTTCGGCAAAATTACTTTAACCTTTCGCAATATTTTGTTCGTTGCACTTTAAAACCGTTCGGAAATAACTTGGTCAATGCTGTGACATCCAATCTCGCCGGCTTGCGAACCACCGCAAAATATAATGAATAATAATTAAAAATGAATTCAAAGCAAAATCTTAATTATGGCTTAACATAAACCCAGAAAGCCAAAAGTTTTGCAACTCGACCAAAAAAAAAAGGTTTGCAAAAAACAAAACACAATCGCATCAGTTTCGAGACAATGTTGCGGATTTTGTGCCCGTATTTTCATACATATTTATATGTCTAGGTATATAAATGGAAGTGTGCCACCTCTTGGAAAAGTGGTGTGCATATATAGTGGATTTATAGGGGGCTGCATAAATAAACCTAAACCCAAGCCAAAACTAAGCGTACAATAATCAATTGACCAACATTTCTTTGTTTTTTTTCTGCCTCTTTCTCTCTTTTTTTCACTGCGTTTTGTTTACATATTTTGCAAAATCAGGTTTACTCTCTCCGTATATCTGATTTGCTCTCTCCTAGTCGGCGAATTTCTTTCTCTTTGCTTATGCAATCTTCGTTACAAAGTGGAAAGCAAAAGAAAGTTCACCAACTTCCCATATTACCAGTAAATAAATGCTCCATCACCATGATTATGGCAATCATATTATGCAGTCCAAGTTTGTTTCCTAAGTTGACTTTTTTGCAGCTCGAACTTTGTCTAACTTTGAACTTTGACTTTATTTTTACGTTTCATTAGTGAACTACAAATTTTTATATAACACACTTCACATGTGAATAAAACTTTAATATTTAACTATGCAGTTTCCTGCTAAGAAAAACGTCAAGCTAATTTGCTTACACTTTTAGGTTGCAAACATTTAAGATTTGTAAACAGTTTGAAAGTTCATAGAATGTACTTAAATTTGACCCGCTAACATGTTTGAGTTGTGCAACATTGTTAAAATTTAAATTAAATCATTTGCATCCTACGTAGTAAATCTGAATTATAAGAGGTACTGAAAAACAAGATACAAAACAGTTCTTACTGCAGAACTATATCACTAAAAATTGGGAGATTAATGGGAACGTATAGATTATTTATAGGGCAGATCGCAAACACCCAGCCGAGGAGGGCATCCAGCCTCACTTGCCGGACACAAAAGTAGGTGCCGGTTCGCTCATCCGGACGCCACCCACTCGGAAAAGGAGGGGACGACCTGTGCCCTTGCAAAAATTGAGCTTCAAGGGACGAAAAACGCCCCTCTGCCTAGAAGCCAAATACTGCCAAGCGGTTAGCAAGGCCAGTTTGGTTTTCCTTACTCATTAGTTTGAGGCACGAATTGCCGACCGTCAGCGCCTGGAAGCTGATGCGCACGCATCCAGAACCAGTTGGGAATTGTAGGGACCATAAAGTTGTGCAAGTAAAAAAGAGCTTTTGCAGGCACATTTTACCTGCACTGAGGGTGGTTAAAGGAGTTTCTGTTCTTTATTAATTTAAATTATTATTGTTCACAAACAACTTACTGGTTGCCAAAGAAATGTATTTGTGAACATTTAAAGAAAACTTATTGCGTAGCCTGTACACAAACAACTTAGGAATACCGCTCATATCCTAACGCTAACTTCCTATTTAAAGGTTTTTTTTTATTGAAATATGTTAAAGAACCCAAAAAAAAAGGCCAACTTTAAAACTAAAATAAATTTAAAGTTTATTTTAAAATTTCAAGGCAATAAAGTTTATTAAAGTGCTTTACTCTAATATCCGTTTCCCAAAAACTCCTTAATGTAAAAAAAAAAACTGTAGTTTCTATTATTTTAAGTGTTGAAACTTTTGAAAAATTAAGTTTTTATAAGAACAACCGTTTTTGAAGGGTATTGAATGTCTAGCATTATAAAGCAAATATGTTATTCTAGTCTCTCTTGGCATTGCGCTTAATTGTTATTAATAGAAGTGATTTTTTAAGATTCCCAACTAGAGCACATCTGGAACTCAATTCCTTAGTTGAACACTTCCGCTCTGTGGTTGTACCATCCCCCGGTTTTCCCCCATCTTAAAACGCAGCTTAATTGCCTTATACAGTGGGACCTATCTATGCAAATCTCAGATATGCGAGTGAGCTATTTGGGGGCTGATGGCACAACTATGTACGTATTCAATTGAGCATTCTGATTACCGGCGATAAAAGTCCCCTAGACTGCCCTACAATGTACAATATGTGTGGCTCTTGTTTGGTGGAAATAACTGACTATCAATTGCAGTTTTTTCATAAACCCTTTGACACCTTTGAAGCTCTAACCATATAGACAAACAAAGACTTACCTTATGTACTTTGTTTCGCGGAACTTTCGAACTTTCTGCTGAAATATAGCAAAGTTTGTTTTCGAGTTAGTTTGCTTGCACTTGTTCAAATTTGTTTTTCGGCCAAAGGTTAAAGGTATCAAATTAGCGCTTCGCCGAAAAAACAACACGTGTTGATAACAGAAATCACATTTTTCGTTTCGATTGGTTAGTTCGCTTTTGTACATATGTGTGTGTTTTTATGACTAACTGCCGCGTGAAGAGGTATTACTTCAGCCATGGAGTATATGTACATATATAGTATAGTTAACGAGCCATCGATAAGGTTGGCTGGTTGATTTGCAGCCTTTTGATTGCATAAACTTTGTTTGCTATTAGTAATTAAGATTAAGGAAACCTTATTAGAATCAATTCCTAATTTCAGTCAACTCGTTGAGTGATACGATTAAAATTAGTCAGTGATTTAGTCGTTGCCGAAACCATAAACCTCTTTAAATTGTTTGATTATTTTAATTTGATTTCGTTAAAAAAAAGGTTTCCATCCATCAAAATGCTAAACCAGTATTATTGTGGGGGCAACTTTTTCTTTGCTGAGAACCGAAAACAAAAGACCGATGTCTTTTTTTTGTTAGAAAAAGTGCTTGATTTACATACACGTGTCTTCCCTGAGACCATACGCAATGTTATACCTTGTATTTAGCCTTCTCAGTTGACTTTGTTATCAATTTTTGTAGCGGCTTAGAAACAAACTAATCTAGTGTAATCTACTTAGCTAATGTCGTGACTTCGATCATTGCTTGTTCCCTGGCATCCAACAATCGAAACAAATTTGTTTTTCAATGTGGCCTGACAACAGCTGGACTCTGGAAGAGATTGCACATTTGGAGGAGATTTCGATCTAATGAGCAAATAATTCGAAAATTATGCATTCTTATATGACTGGCCTTGTGATATCTGGGTGTAGTGGGTTGATGTCATTGCATTATTCAAAAATTCGCACATATTAAGTGCATACAGCAAATAGAAACTTGATCTTTGACTGTCACGCTCGTCTAGGACAAAGGCATGGAAAAATTGAAAATTGTTGGAGTTTGTTGATCTTTGTTGTTTATTTTTCCTTTGCGATTTCCCGCCTATTAGCCTCGAGTAAATATTGATGATTTTAAGTGCCTACTGACGAACGTGCGTTTGGGCATTGCAAAAGTAATTGAATATAGTCGGGGAAAAATTTCATTATGTTACTGCGTATTAGTTTGGTTCATGAGTTTTCTATATCCTTATGATATACAATTAAACTGCTACATTTTTTCAACTCAATTAATGATCATAATATCGAATTTAAAAATAGTTTTTTAAAATATTTGTATGAGAAAGTCTCCGACTTTTAGGGATTTGCCAAGCTGTTTTATATGCGACCAACGTAGAACTATAAAGAGATTCACGTGTCACCGCCGCTTTAATTGGTTTTATTATTTAAATTACAGTAAGGGGAAGTCAGGTTTTAGGAAAAACCCCAAGTGTGAATTTTAAGCACCACTTTGATCTTCCAATCTCTGTATTTTTCCTGCATTGCTAAAATTTCCTTTCAATATTTATTGTAGATTTCAACTGCGCGGCCCGCTGATCATATGGAACACCTTGCTGGCCATGTTCAGCATCATGGGAGCTGCCCGAACGGCGCCTGAGCTGATTCACGTGCTGCGTCACTACGGACTCTTCCACTCCGTCTGCGTGCCCAGGTTGGTTTCATCTCATCAACAGCCGATTTAGCCTGATATTGTTAAGTTCAGCGCCTGCATTTGCGACCTTGATATGTATAAGGCTGGAAACTTGAATGCTATTCAAATGTCCGATCACTGACCGATATTCCGAACCTTCTCCCACAGCTACATCGAGCAAGATCGCGTGTGCGGCTTCTGGACCTGGCTCTTCGTGCTCAGCAAACTGCCAGAGCTGGGCGACACGATATTTATCGTGCTCCGCAAGCAGCCACTCATCTTCCTGCACTGGTACGTTAACAAATGGGCCAAGTCTTTAATTTAAAAAGAGTTTACTATCCCTTACAACACCCTATTATTAAATGTGTATTCATTTGAATGTTTCTTTTTAATGAAAAATAACGCTAGTTATTAAATTTACTTAAGGGTATTAGCAAAGCAAGAACTAGTCAATAGCACTATTAAAAATCATTCTTGGTTTTACATGATAATTATTTTTAGTTTTTTATTAACAGTAATTATAATTGTAATGAAAAGTTATTGTATAATTGATATTTACATTTGATTTGGCAAACCATTATTTTTGATTTCCTGTAATTTTTAATGTGTTTAGATTAATGATTTTGATTTTTAATTATTTTTCCATTGAAAGCCATTGGGTAACTTTTTTATTAATTTAATTGTTTGCCTCTGCAGGTACCACCACATCACTGTGTTGATCTACTCGTGGTTCAGCTACACGGAATACACCAGCTCGGCCCGCTGGTTCATTGTGATGAACTACTGCGTGCACTCGGTGATGTACAGCTACTACGCACTGAAGGCGGCCCGCTTCAATCCGCCCAGGTTCATCTCGATGATCATTACCTCGCTGCAGCTGACGCAAATGATCATCGGCTGTGCGATCAACGTATGGGCCAATGGCTTCCTGAAGACGCACGGCACCTCATCCTGCCACATTTCGCAACGCAACATCAACCTGTCGATCGCCATGTACTTCAGCTACTTTGTCCTGTTCGCGCGCTTCTTCTACAAGGCGTACCTGGCGCCCGGTGGCCACAAGAGCCGTCGCATGGCCGCCTCCCTTGCTGCCCAAAACGCTGTCAAGCAGTCGAGCAGCCCCCAGCAGAGCAGCGAGAGCTCCAAGTTCATTGGCGCTGGCGAGGATCAGGTCGCCTACCTGCGCAAAGCGAAGGCGCAGTAAGGAGGGCAGTAGTTCAGCAAACACCCACACCTACTCCCATTACAACCACTCCCCCTGTTAACAGCTAAGGACATTTATTTATGTAGCGGTGTACAAGTTGTTTTTTAATTTTAAACCTGGGTGGCACACTCAACACACATATACACACACACACGATCGGTCGGGAAAGAATTAAATTTGTAAGCGAAAAGTTGAACCGGGTAAACAGGCATACAAACTATATATCTGAACATGTATATAAAAAAAACAGACAAACCTATGCTAACCAAAATTCAGAGTCGAGTCATAAAACTGTATGTAACTGGGGGCCAGAAGTCTTGCAAACGAAGCGGTGGCATGTAAAGCTTAGGGTTTAAGGACACTTAATGTGCAAGCATGAATATAAGCTTCCAGAAGTGTCCATTAGCAGCCAGCCAAAGGGAAATATTAAAGAAAGGAAAGGAATTTAGCTGCTTACTAGTTTGCATGAGTTAAATTTATAGTCACTATGAAACCTCTTCGTATATTTCCCAAATACAGTTCTATGCAATCCATTTAAACGTGTGTTGTTAAGCCCAAAGTCGTATATGTATAGATAATATAATTCGCAGATATATTGACAGCCTCTAAATTCATGTTTGTTTTCAACTAGCCTTCGAATTGAGTTCGATATTTATTATTTGCGTTGTCAGCGATAATTTGCCTTCTCAGGTGGGATTTTGTTTTGCCTCCCAGTTTTAGTTAAAATTCTCAAAAGGATCGAACTCCGGCCTATAATTGTGTTATATCGTTCAATAAATGATATATACTGGCATTTTTGGTATAGAATTCAATTTTAGTTGTTGGAAAAAGGTCTGAGAACTTTGTACTTCTAAGTCTATACGCATATATATTTATAAAACCTATATTAACGGAATATTTAACAAGTGAAACTAAAAGAAACCATTACCAACCAATAACGAAACACTATGAGTTAGATTATTGTTGTTCCAAGATCCAGAGCGCAAATTGTTATTATAAAGTAATAAAGTGTTTTGAAATCTGTATTAATTAACAAAATCTGTAATTGTCGAATGACGATTGATGAAAATTCTGCTGACTGACTAGATTAAATATGTCAAACTATATCCTCCTCACAAAAATTGACACATTTTCATAGTCACACACATAAATTCCTATTGCAAAATGAATCTAATCAGTCAGTGCAGTTTTAAACAAGTGTCATAATGCTAAAGAAAACTTAGATTTTGTTAGGGGAAGGCATTTATTTAGATAACCTGTGTTGAATGCATTTTAGTATTACGTCTATTTCTCTGCTGCTTTTCGGTAACTTAGAAAAAACTACATAATGCCCTTGAACGTAACACAACAAACAAAATAACCAGAGAAAAGTTTAAATTATATTTATATTTGTAAGAGAACAGAAAATGTGGAAGAGCAAAAGCAAAGAACATGAAAAGCAAAAGTCCTACTTGAAAAGTTAATTTAGTGTAAAACGAGGAAACTGTAACAGAAATTGAAAATGATGCAGAAGCTGAAAGAGGATCGTTTGAATGGAAAGAGGAGGATCGATTGATACTGAACTCTAGCAGGAGAGAGATATTGAAACGAACAAACTTGAAATTTTTGTCGGGTATACATAATAAATAAAAACTAAGCGAAAACAAAACTAAAGATTGAGAATGCTAAACAAAAAACCAACGGATAAATAAAACGTAACAAACGGAAAAGGATTGAGATGTTGAATTTGTATTTATTTGTCGGGAAAAGTGGGGTTTTTTTTTAGAAGCTAAGAATGAAGTCCAATCGAGTTGGTTTGAAAATGTATAAGGAAGTTTCGATGGACAGACATATGCGGATACTAAATCTTCTGAATTCGAAATAGTGCTGCTAGGCGCACTATAAAATAAAATGATTGCCTCATAGCTGTTTGAAATACACGGTGTGCCCGGAAATAAGTACTTTAAATTTAAAGTAAGGAAATTTAATACTCTTGTGACGGTTTCAAATCAACAAAGTGGAACTTTTTTGAATAGGATTTCTAAATTAGCGAAGTTTCGCTCCCGACCTGCAGTTCTTAGTTGTGTTTCACACCCACACAGTGCTGCAAAATGTTGTAAAAATTCAGAAATAACATTTTTATGTTAGTTCATCGTGTTAGTTTAGCCATTTGCTTAGAAAAGGACTAACATTGGGCAGCTCTGTGGCAGAGGAAAAGCAAAGTAGAAATCAGAAAACATTGATGTTGCCCAGCCAAACATCGATGAAACCGATGTTTTGAATACATTGAGGACTTCGATGTTTGCCCACCTCTACCAGCTAAATGTTAGGAAAACGTCGAACTAACAGAGATATGTTAGGAAAACGTCGAACTTACATTTATGAGAGCAAATGAGTAAAAAAAATATCGAAAAGGCGATTCCAATTCGATCTGGCAAACATCGATGAAAATGATGTTTTGAAAACATCGATGACATCGATGTTGCCATCGATGTTTGCCCACCTCTATTGCAAGTGGGATTCCAATTCGATCCGTCGCCGTGCGTAGAAAAAATGCACAGATATAGATAAAGCAGGGAGCAACGCCAGCAGATCAGACTCAGCTATATCGTCGCGAAAACCGATTAATATGTCAAAGGCATTCGCTTGCGGATCAATTAGGCCGTGAAAAAAGCGAGTAGGAGTGAACGAAAGAGAGAGCCAGAGGCGGAGGCAGCGAAGACAAAGTGCATTTTCAGGGCGTGTTTGTGCCCCCTCCCCCTCAGCCTCCCAGTTGTCGACAAAAAGTTTGCCGACACAAAGTTTGCCAAACATGCTGCAAATTCGCAAATTCACCTGAGCGGCCAATATAATAACAAATAAGAAAAATCGCAAACTTCCTTTTCTGTATTTGTATTTGTATGTGCGTGAGTGTCTCCAATCTTTTTGTCTACTCCAAAATCGCAGAAAGAGAAAAAAAATGTGTGCGTGTATGTGTGTGAAATAAATTAAAGCAAAGCAAAAGGCAAACGGCAAATAATTGAGCAAAAAGCCAAGAGAGAAAAAATAAATAGTAATAGTAAGCGAAATAGCCGAAGGAGGAGGAGCCGACGAAGGGCAGAGAGGAGGAGAGAGAAAAGTGTACAAGTTGTTGTTGCTGCGCAAGAGCGAAAACCACCCACTGGCAAATGGGGGCTCAGCAGGGCAAGGACAGGGGCGCCCACTCAGGGGGTGGCTCAGTTGCCCCCGTCAGCTGCATCGGTTTGTCCAGCAGCAGCAGTCCAGTGGCGTCCGTCTCCCCTCACTGCATCTCCAGTTCCAGTGGCACTAGCAGTGCCCCCCTTGGAGGGGGCTCCACACTCCGAGGATCCCGAATCAAGTCCTCGTCCGTTGGCGTAGCCAGTGGCGTCAACGCAGTGGGGTCCGGATCCGGTCTGAGTCAAAGGAGCGGGGGTCACAAGGATGCTGCTCGGTGCAATCCCACCGTGGGTCTCAACATATTCACCGAACATAACGGTAAGTGCCAGTGCTGGGAAACGTCATCAAATGCATGTAAGATACACATAACAAAACCGGTCATCAAATGCATGCAGAATACACAGGAAAAATGAAATCAAGATCTTCCACAACTCCAACCTCCATTTTATCTGCATATCACATATTTAAAATTTTACAAATATTTTTTAACTCATTTTTAGGACTAAGACGTTACCCTCTAAATTCAAATTTGTATGGTTTTTTTTATTGAAATTTGAACTTTCAAATGATTTCTTTTAAACAAATTTAAAACAACACAAAAAATAAGTTAGGAAAACAGGAATTATTTCGTAACTTAAAATTGGTCATAAAATATTTTTGGCAAATGGTGAATTGGATTAAAGTGGTGTAATTTTGATTGAGATTTTTATGATAAAAGATTTTTTTCCTGTGTACAAATTGCAAAATGTACATAAAACGGCAAGAGGAAGTGTAGACTTTTTACCGCACAGCCCCATTCACCCACATACTTCCTGAAATAAAAGTGCATGCAGCATCCAACTCAGGTGTAAATTTCATCATAGTGATTATTCTTGTTCTCTGCACAGATGGTTGTTGTTCTGTTGCAAATTGGGTACCAGAACTTGTTTTATTTTCACAGATGATATTTTAGGTCCTTTATGTAGAAAATCATTTCGTTTTGTGGTGAAATCTTTTAAAAACAAAGAGCAAACCTGACAAATAGGGTTTTAATTAAAAGTTGTAATGCATCTCATCCAAACTAAAGTATATAGTGAAAGCCATGCATTTTTATTACTTATTCAGTAAATAATTAGTAAACATTGCATTGAATCAAAGCTTATTACTTAATAAATAATTGAGTCTTTACCATGCAAAAACCCTTTAAAGCGCGTTAAATAAATAATAACTATAGTACCTCCTATGGTCATGCCATTAAATCTGGGCTGTAAATATCATGCAAATTTTGATTTATTTGCCTATTTAGGCTGCACAGTGTTGTTTTTATTGTTCATAAAGTGCAGTCTTCTTTGCTTCCTCTTTACCCCCCTTTATTTATTATCCCCTATGTTCCTCTATTCACGCTGCTTTCCAATTGAGCCAATTTCTTTTTCCTATTGCTTCCGATTATATTGGGAATTATTGTTGTTATTGCCGGCTAGTTTCATACTTGTTGTTGCTTTTCCGGTGCCTTTGTTTACTAGAGAGAAAGAGGGAGAAGAGAAAGAAGGAAAGAGAGAGCAGCAGCACGCGTCGTTGTTGTTTCTGTGCTATTTGGGGCGGGTTCAGTTCCAATTTTTGCTCTTCATCATTCTTTATCCTTCGTCCGTCGTACGTTATCCTTTATCCTTGCACCCTTATCCCTGCCACCCGCACAGTGGTTGAAATTGCGACCCAAAACACCGTTATCCCACCCCCGCTGACATATTGCCGTTTCCTTCACTTTCCTCCCCCTCATTTTCCTCACACTTCACGCACATTTTTATTTGCCTTATTTTCTAGTCTAATATTTTCCTATTATTTGCCCTGGCAAACTGCAACGTTTTCCTTTCCGCTTATTCAGTACTCCCCTTATTTATAGACTTTTCCCGTTTCTAATAGCTTTTTTATGTCCCTGTCGACGATGTCCTACCACAATAGGACCTAGCGTTGAGTGGTATTTGAGATTGGGTATTTGGGGTGCCGGAAAAACATTTTCCGGATTTTAAGAGAAGTTTGATTACATAAAAAAATAATTATATTACATTATTATTGTTATTTACATATTCTGAAGATTTTGTTTAACTCAATCAGAAGTTCTATTCAATGTACAATTCAAATCTTTTCTTTTAATTTAAAAACATTAAAAACGCAGATGCTAAGATATCTTAGAAACTCGAAATTTCGAAGTTTCCAAATCTATTAATTGTGTGAAATATTAAGAAAACAAATTGTTCGGATATGACATTTAAAAAAAAAAAACTTAAAACCCTTTTGTTTGTTTCCTTGCAAACTACATAGAAAAACTCCCACACAATTGGCTTCTTTGGAGACTAGAGTATTGATTTTCCAATTGGACCACAAGCTGAGCCACAATTCCCAGATGATTTACTACAACTTATGGATTTTTCACATTTTTCTTGGCCTCTCAACTGGAAGTCGTTTCTTATCTTGCTCTAGTAGAGACCTCCGTCCCACCAAGCAATTTGTAATCAATTAATGTGTTTTATATTGTAATTAGTCGCTTATTGTGAGCACTTAAGTATACTCAATCTCTGAGCTGAGCTTTATCAGTGGCCGGTTTTCATATAAATATTTATTGACGCTAGTATTGAGTCATCGCTTCATGCTATATGTATTCACGACTAATCAGAAACGAAATAAGAAAATAAAAACAACATTTTCCAGTCACATACGAGCGAAATTCCCACACAGAAACTCGACAATAAAAATGCACATTTATTTGGCAAACTAACATCGTGTGGCTCATCCAAAAAGGTCGAAATGGGGGTCTGCAATTGCCTTTTTCGTGTGTCTCGCCTGCAAAATGCAATTACAAAATTACAATGTAAAAACTGTGTCTGGGTCTGCAGATTACAAGCCCGAGCAAATCCCAAAAACAGAAACGGAAAGCCCAACTCACCGCAATTGTCAATCCGGGGAGGCCTCGTTTTAGGAGGAGGGTTATGTGGGGAATCGGGGGAAAGTCGCTACGGAACTTCAACTCAATCACAGTTAAAACACAACCACTGACGAAACAAGGTACAGTGGGATAAAAATATAAAAATATATTTATTAAAAAAAAATACTAATACAATAATATACATTCTTTTAATTAAATAGGCAAGATAAGATTTTCCGCAAAAAGTCAGTAAAAAGACATTAAATAAAACAAGGTCAAACTGGCTTACTACAACGTAATATCAACGTTCAGAGGTCGTAGGCAATGGATATTGTAGTATTTGCAATTTCATAAGCATGTTGTTGGTTGTTACACGATACAACGTAATTAGATACTATGGGGGCGGCAGTTGCATTATCGAAGGTATGGGATTGTGTGCCGCCCTGGGAAAATACCATAGAACCGGTGCAGTTGCAGATGCCTCATTGGAGTTGCCAATTACAGTTGCAAATGCAACACTGCGCATCGCCACTTTGTCCCGTTGAAAACGCTGAACCACTCCGCAAACAACTCACGCAAGTTGATGTCTCAAAAATAGACTCAAGTGGGAGAGAAGCGAAGCCCCGACTCCTTATTTTCAAGGAGAAAGAGTACATGAATTGCGTTTGTCTCTGCACTTATAAAAAAATATTTTTTAAATTACAATATTAAATTTTGAATAACATTGTAGCGCAAAAAAAAAAGTTTTCCCAAAATCATCAAAAAAATTTAACAACTAAATTTAGTGTATTTAATTTTATAGTCTTGATAAATACTCTACACACTTCGAAGAATATATACTTGGTTTTCGGTGTAGCTAGTGTAGCTACCTCCTTCGCACAAGCAGGGAAATCCGAGTGTGGTGTTTGGTCTCAGTTTGCTTGACATGCAAGCGGCAAATTATGAGCTCGGGCAAATGAACTTTTCACAAGGCTAATATGTGGAAAAGGGGCTAGAAAGGGGGCGGGTCAGGTGGCAAACAGGTAACGCAGCAAGGAAGGAAAATTTGTTTGCTCTTTACTTGTTCCCTCACAACCCCAAAAAACAGAAAACAAACACGGCATAATGCTCAAGTCGCATTAATATTTCTCCAATGATTTTATGTGCTTAAGCATAATTGTCATAATAATAAAGCACTCAGTAAAAGGGAAATCGCGGGGATCGAAAGGAAGGGGTTCCACACATCGGAGGCGTTGTCTCCATTACCACTTTGTATCACAAGACTTTTCTCTTTCGCGGCTGCATTTCTATTATTAGCCCCAAAACGAAATGTGTATCTTCCATGCTTTCAGTTGTTATTGTCGTTTTTATACAATTTCCTTTGGCGCTGACAGAGATTGAAAGTTGGAGGAGTCTCTGATCAAGGGTCGTAGTTAAGATAATATGCGGAGGGGATTAATAATATTTTGTTAACCAAAAAGTTGAAACATCAAAAAAGTGAAGTTTTAAGCAAATCATACATTTTGTTTCTGTGATTCCTGATTATATATTAAGTATGATGCCAAAAAAATACATAATTTCAGTACAGTTGACTGTCATCATGTCTTGTAATTTTACAGAAAATAAATATCATTTTTATGTCTTAACGCTCCCTACTGACTGACCTTTGACCGCGCCCATGACTTTCACTGAAGCAGCAACAAAGTGCACTCGACTCTTCGTGAGGTTATTTTGCATGTTCTCCGTCTCTTTCTGTCGTGGTATTCCATGCCAGATATATATAGGTTTGTGTGGATGTTCCTGTTTTCGATCAAGCTCGTAAATCCTTTCGTGCTTCATTTTCTCTCGGTTTCGGCCTCTTTTTGTTGTTTCGATGACTGCATTGCTCAGCGCTTTGATGTTTTTTGATATTTTTAGACTAGGGCGCTATCATTTCCAGTTCTTAAATATGCCCTCCCCCTTTCTCGGGTTTCCCTCTCGCACCCTCCCACATATATGGGCGTGTCAATCCAATAGGAAAAACAGAGTTACTCTAACAGCTGTTCTAATTCTGATTAGACAACCAGCGAACAGCTGTCGGAGCTCGAGTAACGGTAAATTAATATGTAAAGACAAATGCTTATTCAGCTTTCTTAAATTTAAAGAATTTCTTTGGATTTATTTGGCTGAAATTTGAATTCCTTTAACAAATTAATCCATTAGGAACTCGCGCATTCCGATGGTTTTCGTTGAGACTTTACGATCTGTTTATATGGTCGTAGATCATCATAAATCTGACATCACCATAATTTCAAATAATTTCCCCGATCAATTTTAAGTCTATTTTCCTCATTCATGTGACATTAAATTCGTTTGATTGCTTAACTTGGGTTTTATGTAATTTTCCCTCGTCTTTATTTTTCAAATTTCGCATTTCCAGTGGACCGTTTCTGGGGACACACCCCCAAGTTTCCGCCCTCAAAACTCTGACCCGCATTTTTTTTATGGAGACTTTTCCCCCGAGATCTTTTGCCTCATTGAAAATTGTTTGCATAAATTAGCTGACGAAAAAGAAAGAAATTGGAGAAAAACAAGCATATTTTTGTAGAAAAAAATATATTTCCAAGGGGAGTACAGATGCCTGAAGTATAACGGCAACTAATTAGCAGCCAAAGAAGTTTCTTTCACCCGATTCTCTATTTATTTTTCAGCTTTGGGGTCATAAATATTGACGCCACTTGATTGATTGATTGACACTACGCTGCGTAAAAGTCTTTATCATTCTGTGTTGATTATAAACAGCAATTTAGGGGAAGCCGCTCACTTGATATATTTATTTTTATATTTTGTGTTTAACTTGCAATCCCCAAAGGCAAACACAAATTCCCTTAGCTCTGCCCCCTTTTTTCATATATTGTTTATTAAATTGATTGTATTTCTCTCTCGCTCGCTCTGTCTATGTCTCTGCGTTAAACAAGCCAGCAAGGTCAAATAAATCAGCAAATAAAACTTTTCTCTTTTTTTATGTATTATTATTTATGTTTATTGCACCCAGTGCATGTCACAAACATAAACAATTTCGTTCGGCTCATTGAAGAAATACAGTACCTTATCTTTAACGGGAAATACTTGGTTTAGACATATGTACATACAGTGCTATGCATGTATTTATCTAAATGTCATGCGATTAAATGCTTTTAAATAAATTGTTTTGAAGGTTAGACCTAAGGTATAAGCACAATGGAAATTATTTGCATATATTTGTATTTAAATTTTAGCATTATGTGAATAAGTTTTAAAATGTAGCTTTAATTTAATAACGTTTAGTAAGATATACAAATATACTGCTTTGGAAAAAACCTTAGTATTTAAGCCTTTATTATGTCAAGCTATAAAAAAAAACGACAATAAAAACAAAGTGGTACTTTATTCCATTTCAACTTTATGAATTTCAAATAAAATATAAATTTCTAGTCGTCATATAGATAGGCACAAGCTGCATCTGAAGGCTCTAATTTCCCGAGTGTCCACTGTGGGGCAGAATGCGATTGGAAACCTGTTTCTGGTTCTTGTCGTTGCGGGAATTGAATCCATCATTGAGAAGTATAGTAGCCATGAGAAGTATAAAAAATCCGATTCCGATTTGACTTCGCTCTTCTCGTTTACAACCTGTCTCTATCTATATCTGCAGGTTGAATTGCATTCGCCCCAATCACGTTCGCAATTGCAACTGTTTATGCGATACAGGGTCTTCGGGGGGCTAGCAAACATATGGGTGCGGGGAGGGCGGTGGGTGGCAAAAGGGGCCAGCCTGGCACGTTCACAACTTTGGATCTCCGACTTGCAGTGAGTTTTATATATACACCTATATAGACACCTTTAGTTCAAGCCCCGGATTGCAGGGTGCAGCATAAAGTAATCTCTGCAAAAAACAGCAACAAAGGCCGCAGCTGCAGCAGGTTGATTGAATTTTTGTATCCAGTTCAGGTGAGGCATAATCCCCTAGAAGAGGAAGAAAAGGTTGCATAAATGAAGTGTGAAATGAATGAAGTGCGAAACATTCGCTCAAATAGTGAAAAGAAAGAAGCAGCATTCAGTTGTGTAATTAAGCTTTAAGCTGCTTAAGGAATATTCACAACTTTAAACAAGAGTTTGTAGTATATGAAACTCCACTCCACTTTATACAAAGTTTCAAGTGGGTATGATATACAATTTCTGGAGTAATAGTGTAAAGTGCTTTTTAATTTAAATTTGGTAAGAAATTACTGAATGTGGAACTAGGTAAACTAAGAAATTTAACGTTAAAATATAGAATTAAAATATCTATTTCAAATGAAAATTATAGTCAAGAGCTTTTGTATAAAGTTTTTAAGTTGAATGTGTGTGTCTGCTTACATTTATTTTACACCAACTTCAAATATTTTGAAATCTTCAAAAACAATAAACCCCATTGATTTTTTTTTATTCATTTTTAAACAGCTCTTTGATGATTTTTTTAAGTTTCTCCTATTTACCATTGATATTCCCTAATTGCGATTTCCCTTCATTTAGAGTCTAAATTTCCGACAACGCAAATTTCACCCATTCTTTTGGACCGCTTATCAATTTCTCTCCAAAACCTATTAAAAAAGACAGCTCTAAATTGTATTTATTTTCTTTTTGCACCAAACAAATTAAGAAAATTGCGAACTGTTTAAAGAGCGAAGAGAAAAGAAATATGTGTAAAAGAAAAAGCATGACAAATGCAAGTGCAAAGAGAAAGAGAAAGAAGGTGAAACCTGTTTGCCTGTTTTGCCGGTGGAAGCCCAACAAAGAAATGCCTCCCTCTCCTACTTTAAAGCCTTTCTGTCTCTTTCACTCTTTAAAGCCCTCTCTCTTTCTCGCGATGGTCAGTGAACCGTTGGGCCAAAACATGAAACGGACAAAATATGCCTAAAAACAAATGATAACCAAAAATTTGAGCCGTTAATTTGAAATCCACAAAAGCGAGCTTTTTACATTCTTTCATAATTAATGCGAAATTTAATTCATTTAATTGTCTTGCCAGCTTTCGGTTCACACTTCCTCTTGTTTTTCCCCCCACACTTTCGTTTCTTTTCGCACTTATTTATAATAAGCTTTTATAATTGTCTGTTTCAATTTAACGAAATTCTTCCTAACTTAAAAAAAATATATCATAAAACAAATAATTTTAGTTGTTGAATCGCATATTTCTAACTCATAATATACTTAATTAGGTTTATAAACAGTTATATAAGTTATTTATGTATACCTTAGACATCCTCCATTAGATTTGAAATGTTGTATCTAAATTTTAATCGTGTAAGCCCTAAGCCTGTGTAAATAGTGAATAGAGAAGAAGTCTTTCGTAATTCAAATAAATATCAAAGCAGAAATATAAATGTTGATTTTTAAAAATGTTTAAAATTAATTGTTCTTTATAAAGTGAAAAAAGTGTATACCCTTCAATATTATTTTACTAAAATAAAACAAGGGAATTTACAGATTCGGTACTTCGTTTTAGGACTTTTTAACGCTCTGCTTGGATGGTTCATTCAGAAGTTTGTTTGGCCTTTGTCTGGCGACGTCTGTCAATTTTTATGCCGTCTGGTAATATTTAAACGACATCCACATCCGCGCTGCCTGTCGCTCGTCGTCGTCCGTTTCATTTCATTTATAGCAATTGCACTTGCTTCCAAGAAACTGAGAATCCAGCAGGAAAGGAAGCGGGCAAAAAAAGCGTGCAAAAAATGAAGTAAATGAATCACCAAGATGGTTCTTTTATGCACACATCATAGAGATAGCTTCTTCTGCCTTCACCTGGGTTTTAAATAGTTTTTCCCGTCTCTGCCTTTTCAATTTTCCAGACTTTCTGACCTTTTTCCTAGTTGATTTCGCATTCTGTTCTCACAATCGCGATAAACGAACCTTTTTCTTTTGAAGAACTTGTCCTGTCGCGGGCAGAAAGAAATAGAAAAGATTTCAATCTGCTGGGTGAAATTTAGCTGTGGGAAAAACCAAATTGGAATTAAAATGCTTAGCTTGCTGGGAAGTGGGAAAAACTAACTAGAAACTGTTGAGTCATTAATTACCCGTGCAAGCCTTATCAATCGTTCGTTCACCTTTTTGGTGATTTAAAAACAGGTGGGAAAACTCAGCACTAGTGCTAAACTTTCACTTTGCACTGGCTTTTCGATTTTCATTTTCATTGGCCAAAGAAAATAAACAAATCAAATTTAAAAAACATTTCTGTTAATTGCCGACTCAATCGATCAATCATTTTCGTGGCAGCCAGACAAAATGTACGAGTTTTCCAGAGATTTTACAACAAATTTCCCACTGCTTCACGCTCGACTTAAACTAAGCTCCGAAAAACGAAATCAAAAAACATGCATTAATAAAAGCGAAAAATAGTTGAAAAGCAGACACCTGAAATAGAAAATCATTTGCTGTGAAAATGGTAATTATTATTATTATTATACCAGACAGGCGAAAAAAGTGAAAACTTCCAAGTTTTTTTTTTTTTTTTAATATTTTTTAGTGCGTAATTAGTATGGATACAAATTTGTTAATTTTCAATGCCGTAATACCTTGAATGATGTAAACTTTTGAGGTAAGAAGAGAAAAAAAAATACGTTAATGCACAGGAAAAAAATTATATTATTATGAGGTCGTATCTATGTTTTATATGTTAGGCTTAGGATTGATATTTTAGATATGAGTAAATGATGTATTGCAATTATTTTTCCGTGTACGCAAAAAGATCGCACCCAAATAGTTTCAACTATTTTTTGGGGGAAAATTCCGGTGTCATTATCCAACAATTAGCCGGACAAATGAACGGATAGACGTGACCGGCGGGTTACGTAAAATGGTAAATTGCGACAATGACAATGATAGAAATGAAAGGGGAAAACCAGAGAAACCAGAGAAGGGACAAATGGAAACCAAGGAAAATTGCGCACATTAAAAAGCTTTTAGGCCAGCTGCCATAAAGATAATCAAATTTTGTTTGCCGAGTGCCGAGATTACATTGATTGGGTAGGTGGAAATTAAATATTTCTATATATTTGCCACTACCAGTGGTACGACCGTAATTACACGCTTGGGCAAACGTACGAATGAAATTTAAGTTACACTTTGATCTCTTGATTTTATTATTTCTGTATTTTGTCGGTAGCTTTCAATTGAGAAATTACGTAAAATTCAGTGACAAAGGTTAATTTGAAGCACGCTTTCAGTTTGGAGCGGAGTTTCCCAAGGTTTCATATATATTTATACCCTTGCAGAGGGTATTATAATTTCAGTCAGAAGTTTGCAACGCAGTGAAGGAGACATCTCCGACCCTATAAAGTATATATATTCTTGATCAGCATCACTAGGCGAGTCGATCTAGCCATGTCCGTCTGTCCGTCCGTCTGTCCGTCTGTCCGTCCGTTTATATGCAAACTAGTCTCTCAGTTTTAAAGCTATCTGCATGAAACTTTCCCAAAAGCTGTCTTTCTATTGCAGTTAGTATATAAGTCGGAACGAGCCGGATCGGACGACTATAGCATATAGCTCCCATAGGAACAATCGGAAAAATAAATGAAAAAAAATTATAACTTTGCTGTTTTTTAATTTTTTGTTTAGTTCTTCGACATTTAGTAATGGTTAAATATTTCCGATTTACGGTTTAAATTTCATCAAAATCGGACGACTATAGCATATAGCTCCCATAGGAACAATCGGAAAAATAAATGAAAAAAAATTATAACTTTGCTGTTTTTTAATTTTTCGTTTAGTTCTTCGACATTTAGTAATGGTTAAATATTTCCGATTTACGTTTTAAATTTCATCAAAATCGGACGACTATAGCATATAGCTCCCATAGGAACAATCGGAAAAATAAATGAAAAAAAATTATTACTTTTCTGTTTTTTAATTTTTTGTTTAGTTCTTCGACATTTAGTAATGGTTAAATATTTTCGATTTACGGTTTAAATTTCATCAAAGTCGGGCGACTATATCATATAGGTCCCATAGGAACAATCGGAGAAATAAATGAAAAAAAATTATAACTTTTCTGTTTTTTAATTTTTTGTTTAGTTCTTCGACATATGGCAATGTTTAATTATTTCAGAATTATGGTTTAAATTTTATCAAAATCGGACGTCTATATCATATAGCTCCCATAGAACTAATAAAAATATATAAAATAACTATCTAATAATTGAGCTGCAAATCATCATAGCTTCACTGTTTTTCAGTATATACTCAAGTAAATCATAATTTAAATGTTTTCAAAAGTATTTAATTCATGCAATAGCTGCAAGGGTATATGAACTTCGGCTTGCCGAAGTTTGCTTTCTTTCTTGTTTTGAGTTGAATATGTTTTTACAATCCCCAAACAATGTACATTTTTCCGCCCACGCACTTAAGACTTCTTTTTTGTGTCTGTCAACTTTTCCCATGCCTCTTGCCGTGAATGTAGATAAAACAGTTCAGAAATTCCAGCATTGTATCTGAAACTTCCTCTTTCATCTGTTTTTTTGACCCTCAACGGTGACTTTTATCTCCCCCTGAGAGCTTTTCATATTTGTTTATCTAAAACTGGAAAAAAGAACACATTTTTATAGTCAAATGCTTTTTATCGCCTGCTCAAATTTATTATCTGAAAAAATATATGCCCACGCAAAATGTTTGGGAATGTTTCCCTGCCAACTGACATGCAAATGAATAAGCGCAAATGTCTAGGAAAAAAGTATGACAAATACCTCAACACTCGCTGTTTGGCCATAAACAATAAGCCATAAAACATAAACAAAACAAAAGGAACTTAGCCGGCATATATAGAAAAAGGCAGGTCAAAAAACGAAAGAAGGAAAACCGAACAAAATAGCAAAACAATAAAAAATCATGAATGAGTAGCGTGTGTGAATTTCGAAAAGTCTTCCACATAGAACCAATGTACGGTGGTCAAACCAAAAAAAACCTTCAGATTAAGAACACAAATTTATTTTTGCAATGGAAAAAAGCCTTCTGGACTCAAATTTAAATCCATTTCCTATATTTTTTGATACCAGATTATGTAAGGAACAACCCAGACATGTAATGAGGTTTACCAGTTGATAATCAAAACGACCATCTAGATAACTCGTATTCCCCACTGTGCACACTGCCTGTTCGCAGTGAGTCATTCACTCGACACTCGCAATTGAATTCCGACTCTTGGGCCAACGCGTCGTATTAGCTTCTTTGGCTCTCCTCTTTGGGCTCGTTCTGTTTGTCATTTGCATAGCCACACAAATTGTGCATGCCAATGGTGATTTTTTTTGTATTCCCTTTGTTTTGTTTGCTTTCTGGTCATCGTCGACAATTAAAAGTCAATTTCATTCACACTAGACAATGGAGAATAGACCCTTGGTCACGTGATACCATGAATACCATCATGGGAGGAATGGGTGCATTTTCCTGTGAACCTTGCAGACCGTAATTGATAAAGTTGCCCGATATAAACGAGCAGATTCCGTTCGAGATAAGTGTGAAAGAAACTTTCCCCTGCCCGTAACAAAAACCATTCAAAAGCAAAAATGTTGCAGCTTTGTGAACTTTGTGGCAAGGACAGCAGCAATGCACATTCAAGGGGACATGGATCGATAGGACCTTCTCCACAAAGTTGCTGTCAAAAGGTTAATTCCACAGAAGATACCCTGGAAATATTTAATGTCGATTTTTATGGAAACATATTGCAGTATTTTTCGAATTCTCAACAACTACTTTAATTCAACTCGTATCATCAGTCACAACTCTGCTTGCGAATAACCAAGAAATAAATTATTGTACCTACATGTTCTTAAAGCTATTTAGAGGGTAGTCAAAGCCTCGTTTCCTGAAGTACAGGATCCGCCCTTTTATGTGGTTTGTCGCAGCGTTTGTCCTTCACCTTATCCCTTTATTATCTCCTCTTCTCCCTGGGCCTTCATTTTGGTCCTCTTGTGGCCGCGCTGCTGGCATTCAATTAATTTGCTGGCGATGATGCGATTTTATGGATGACACTCATCGCTCGGTTGTGGCGGAAAAGGTTTTTCATTATTGATTTTTGTCCCACCTTTTTTTTCGGCCCGTCTGTCTCACTTTAATATGTATTTATTGCACTCACTTGATTTCCATCAAGTTACTGGCATATAAAGGCCTGAGGGAATTGCGGGTGCACTCAGAAAAATTACTTTTTTAAGTAACTGTTTATTAAAGAATCCCATTTTAATTTTGTTGGGAATTAGAAGGCATTATATAATTGTACAACCGAATCGCTAATACTAATACTTTTAGGAGAACACAATATTAAACAATAAGTGCATATTGATAGTATCCACTTCAAGCATAAAGCAAATCTTAAAGACACTTTTAAAAAATCTTTACTAAATTATTAATTGATAATTGTGAAGTATGCACTTCAGTTTTATTTTTTTTTAATGTGTAAAGGAGATCGAGTGCTGCGTCATATGTCGCATTAGGTTGTATGCACCCCTCGACATAGGACCTTTTTCCCCATGGATCCAGTATAATGCAGCGTAGTGAGCCTTGAGTACGGAATCCTTAGAAAAGTGGTAAAATTTGCCAGTGGCTAAAGGGGGAAGTCGAGGGGTTCGTGCTGGGAGAGTTGCCTTTGTCAGCCAAGGGTGGATTTTATATTTAACATTATTTTTCTTCGTTCCCTTTGCCAGGAGCAGGGCCAAGTCCTGGCCACCTCTGCACCCCCCGACACCCTCATATCCTTGGACCCTCTGGCTCTTTGCCTTTACATAACTTTCCTTTTGTTCTTGCATCTATTTCACTTTAGCCACTCGTCATCTCTTTCGCAGCTTGTAGTTTTTTCGCACAACATTTTTTCGCACTTGGATGGAAGGAGAGGAACTTGATCTCAACCCTGGGGTGCTCAAAAAAAAAATAAAACAAATTAAATTTTTTCACATTTTTTCCTGCATTTCCTACAACTTTTTGTTTTGCCCTGTCAGTTACCAGTTGCGTTTTTCTCATTTCAAAATGGGGAAATTACACGGGAAACTTTAATTCCCAGATAACCATATGCTGTTCTCGAAAGTTGGGCAGGAAAAACTTTAGGTTTTTGGGTTAATTTCTTCATGTTTCCCTAACTAGCTTCGGTTTCCATTTGCCTTCGGGGCGTATTTGCTGCTCTAATCGGGTCTGCCAGCTTAATGATTTCAAGTTCCGTTCAAAAGTTCCGCTTCAAAAGTTATCATTAAGCCATAAAAAGCCAAGAAAATGCAGAGAAAAAAATTCATTTACTTTATGTCCTAAAAAAAAAAGATATTACTCAGCTACAAAAACTATTCTATTGCATTGAATGGATTTAAGCCAGTGTTTAAGTTATATTTTTCTAAGTGTGTTTGACTTTGTTGTTAAAGTTAATTCAATTGAAAAGTTCTCGCCAGGCAGAAAAAATTGAAATCAAACCCCTTTAAATTTCTCCTATTTTCCCCTATTCCACGACGTTGCATCGGAAGCCAGAGAAATGACTAATTAAATTTACACCGTAAAAGTTTATTACTGTTGACTGGCCACGCCCCCTGCCCCCTTATATATGTAGTTACTGTACATATATATATATATATATTAACGTCTGGATGTCTGGCCAAGAGGCCAAAGGCAAAATGTGAATGAAATCCGACAAGTAGAGTAAAAGGGTGATAGAAAGGGGAGACGAGACCGAGGCCAACTGAAAATCCCTGCCAGGTTAAGACACAAAAGCCCTTGAGCTGAAAACACAAAAATACGTAGGAAAAACAAAGCTAAAACAGAGTAAAAAACAACTTAGAACTAAAGCGAAACGTGCTGAAATGCAATGAGCTACAAACGAGCAAACCAGAAAGATCCACAAAAATCAAACCCACAGAACAAGTGCATGAATGGACTGTTTGACTGGATGACAGAATGAAATAATGAATGAGCAGTTGAAAATGCATTGCAATAAATCACACATTGAAGCTCGATTTGGCAGGAAAAACAAAAAAAAAAAGGAAAAAACGAACAGAAGCATTATATCTATAGATAATAAATGACAGACACATCAAGTTTAGTGCTTGCCGGCGAAGGACAGGCCATCAAACAAAAGACGGATACCGAAGAAATCTCAAGAGACAATTCGCAATGAGTAACTTCTATAGCCAAGGCTGTAATGAAAAGCTTTTCAATACTTAATGCAGGCTATATATAGTTAAATGTATAGTTCATTGTTGCAAAAAAAAAAAAAAATCCTTTGTTTAGATGTCTTGAAATTTACTGTGCGACATTATTCCTCATCAGCTTTTGTAAACATAAATAAATTGTTTTAAAATTTGTTATCAAACATTTTAAGCTTCACTCAAAATCGACCAAACCACATATTTTAATATACTTTAAAACTAGCAATTAAATATTTTTTTGATTGAATTTCTTGAAAGTAATAAAAAGTTCTAATTTTTCAGGGATCACTGTATCTATTGTGTATCGTTGCAAGGTTTTTGGAGGGGACTTTAGCTGCTGAGGCGGCTGATTTCAATCTGTGCTTACTCAACACACTTACCGTTAAGTCTTTGAGTAGTTTGAGTAGTTGCGGGTGGGACATGGGTAATTGGGTGGTTCTGGGAGGGATCAGTGGGTGGAGAAGCGGTACCGCGCATCATTTCACTTGTAATCAGCCCTCAGCTCGAGATGCTCCAAATTCACGCTAATAACCTGCATAAGCAGTCGCTGGGATGGCGGATGTGCATAACTTGAGAGATGTCTGTATAGCCATCTCTATCTTCATCTATATCCCCGCCTCTTTCTCTTCCGACATGTGTAGAATTTTTGTGACTTTAAAGTTCATTGGACCCATTCCGCTTCAGCAGCAGCTTAAGCTCTCTGAATGGGGCATATATCTTTATGTTCTTTTCTCCACACTCCCCTTTTTTGTCAAATGTCTAGGGGGCGTGTCACACTCAACCAAAATCTTCAACTAAATATAAATAATTTGTAAAATGTTTGTTTTAAAACCGGTATACTTTTTTTTAAAGTTTGAACAAAACATTTATAAATACAAAGAAAGAATTTTTATTATAAATTAAATTAGAGCTTTTGAAGTCAAAACTTCGTAGATGAATGTGATTTTTACTTTAAGTGTACACCAACTCACACGTTAGGTTTTCCAGAATTACCGAGATACTTTTCACTTGGCTGAGAAATTACAGCACTTACTGAAGCCATCATCTGGCTGCTGTTGTTATTACTCTTCTTCTTGTTCTGGCCGGGTAGCTAATTGGCCTTTCAGCGGTTGCAAGACCCTCTAATTCTCTAATGCCTCTTCGCTTTTGATGTCATCCATCCGCTAACTGTATATAGATCGCTGTACACGTATTTTTTTTTTGTTATATTACTTACCTAGAGTTATGACTAAGATAATTGTATTTAATTTCGTTTCCTTTTTTGTTCTGTTTGTAACCACTTTGTTTTTGGAACCTCATCGGAACGCCATTGTAGATCATCGCATTTGCCGCCCATCGTAATTAAATGATAACATCAGAAACTGCCTGCTCTATCTATAGATAAATGTCCAATCGGCTGACAATCCGTCTCTCACACAAAATATCTCTGTTTCTTTCGTTTCTCCAGGTACCAAGCACAGCTCTTTTCGCGGCCATCCAGGCAAATATCACATGAACTTAGGTAACAACCACAAAAATCTTTACAAATCAACAAAAAACCAAAATACCGAAGCAAATGTCCACATAAGTACTGTCATTCATAATAATTAAAGATTCCCATAAGATGATTGGGTTATTTTCCATTATATGCTGCATGATTATTTCGGGAGTTTTGTTTACATGTAGTCATGAGAAAAAACTTTGCTTGTAAAGTATCAGTGGGAAACCATGGAGTCATAGCTAAAATAGTATTCAAAATGTTGTTTTAATCTGATGTAGTCACATGAAACATAAGACAAATCTGAGTTCTTAAAAATTTAGTTTGAATCAGAATTTTTTTATGCGTAATTCTTAATTTTTTTTTAAACTTATTTAAGCAAAGTGACTATACTTTTTTTTACTAGGAGTTTTTTAATTCGCTGGAAATGACTGTACCAATTAATGAGTAAACAGAAACTATAACTATAATAACTATAATTTATATAAATAAATTTATCTACATCTTTAAAAAAATAGGCTAAGATCATCGAGTTTAGCTCGTTACATGCAATTAATGTTATACAAATCGAACAGCAATTTAAAGATAATGATGATAATTAAGCTATATGCAACATCAATAGCTGACTCAACATGGTCAGACTTCCTTGATTATCCCTCAAAATAACTGATTCAATAACAAAGTATTCTCGGCCCTCTCACCAGTAACAGAATTCCCATCGTGAGTCACTTTCAAAAGCAAACTCTAAAACTGGATAAACAAACTTGCATATCAAGTGGGTGTATATTGTCATCGGCTAATCTTCAGTTGGGGGATTTAGACAGCCGGGCAGACCACCATTGAAGAACTGTACATTTCCGCTCTAATCTGTCCCTATATTGCCTATATTCCCTTTTATTCCCCAAACACACTCCACACCTATTATTATTCGCCATTAATATTTCCTGTCTCGCGCGCATAAATTAAAACAGTGTGTGATGGGGAACCCTTCTCAAATGCGTTACAATATGATTTGGATCGGTTTATGACTGCTTAGCACACCGACCGCAAACCGAAGATTACCGGTCTCTGAATGACTTCCACTTCACCCAAATTTATGCACAATTGTGTCCATGAAAGAGGAGAATATATTTATGCAGCGGAAGTGTTTGCTTTGGTCAAACGAAGCTCGCACACAAAAAAAAAAAAAAATGGGAAAAAATGTAAATTTGTACAATTATTTCAATGGGACATTAAAGCGAAAGTCTGGTTTTATTTCAAAGAGTACCCTACTATAGAAGCTTGATTTGGACAGGTTTAGATCTGACAAGTTTGCACAATCTATCAAGCGAAACTTTAGCTTAAAGTGGATTGCAAGAATCTAAAGAACAACTTTGTGCAAAAAATGGAAGTGCAACTAGCTAGTAGACTTTTATATACCTTTTATTGTCTTTAATTTTACAATTTGTAGAGATAGCTTAACATTTTTTAAGCTAAGCTTTTTGTGTAAAACTTAAAGAATGATATTTCCATCAACTTAAAAGATATTAGACTTACTCTAAATTCCTGGGTATTAAATAAAACGTGAAGGTCTATCAAAAAACTTTTTCACTGCTAATATGCATTCCATAGACTCAGCTTTATACACAGGGAGCACAACAGCTATGGATACCCAGTTTAGCACAGAGTGTGGGAGGCGGAAAGAAAGAACGGGATGAGGGGACAATCCAACCGACCGACAATCAGTTAGAACTTCCCACAATAAAATGGCTCGTTGAGGGACTCCTGGTCCACCGCTGGCAGACAGCGATTTGTGTAATTTTATTCCGCTTAATGCATAATTTATTCCACTCCATTCCCTCAATGGAAAAGAGAAGGTTGCTGCCCGATTTCCCCGCTGGCCAGCACTTGCTCCACAAATTGCCCGCATTCCTTGAAAGAGAAACGGGTTTACCTGCATTGTATTTTCTCGCTGCACCGAAAAAAACATGATTCAAAATGATAATTTCAGAAACCTTTATTATAGACTTTTGTAAATATTAAAATATTCCCTAAGATTTTATTATATTATTTGAAAATAATTTGGATAGTTTTTTGTTTGCTATAATATGGGGCTAAACCTTATCTTATCATAATATTCATTAAGAGTAATTGTGTAATAGGAAGAAATTATTTGAAAAATAAATGTTATAAGCTAAGATGTTCCGGTTCCGTGTACTTAAAATGTTAATGGGATATATATAAGCGATACCTCTTATTGAACACTTACCAACCGCAACTGACAAAGTGCGATTGCTGATACCTTTTAAAAAATTAAATGTTTATATTAAATAGACTAACTTTGAAGATCAGTTACTTATTTTGGTTGCCTTCTTTAACTTTCCCTTGCAGAAGCCCTGCTGCAGTCGCGTCCATTACCTCACATTCCGGCCGGCAGCACGGCGGCCTCGCTTTTGGCGGATGCGGCTGAGCTGCAGCAGCATCAGCAGGATTCCGGCGGACTGGGACTGCAGGGCTCGTCGCTGGGCGGCGGTCACAGTTCGACCACATCAGTGTTTGAGTCCGCACACCGGTGGACCTCCAAGGAGAATCTACTGGCCCCCGGACCCGAGGAGGATGATCCGCAGCTGTTTGTGGCCCTGTATGATTTCCAGGCCGGCGGCGAGAACCAGCTGAGTCTGAAGAAGGGCGAACAGGTGCGCATCCTGAGCTACAACAAATCGGGGGAGTGGTGCGAGGCGCATTCGGACTCCGGAAACGTGGGATGGGTGCCATCCAACTATGTGACGCCGCTCAATTCGCTGGAGAAGCACTCCTGGTATCACGGCCCCATCTCGCGCAATGCCGCCGAGTATCTGCTGAGTTCCGGAATCAACGGAAGCTTCCTGGTTCGCGAAAGCGAGAGCTCACCGGGTCAGAGGAGCATCAGTCTCAGGTGAGACATTCTGTTCTCTGTTCTCTGTTTTTTGAATTGAATTTCCTTATTAATTTCCTTGTCGCTTTCGCAAATAGATATGAGGGTCGCGTCTATCACTATCGCATATCGGAGGATCCCGATGGCAAGGTCTTCGTCACCCAGGAGGCCAAGTTCAACACTCTGGCGGAGCTGGTGCATCATCATAGCGTGCCCCACGAGGGCCATGGCCTAATTACACCGCTCCTGTATCCGGCGCCCAAGCAGAACAAGCCCACAGTCTTCCCGCTGAGTCCCGAGCCGGATGAATGGGAGATTTGCCGGACGGACATCATGATGAAGCACAAACTGGGCGGCGGGCAGTACGGCGAGGTGTACGAGGCTGTCTGGAAGCGGTACGGCAATACGGTGGCTGTTAAGACGCTCAAGGAGGACACCATGGCGCTGAAGGACTTCCTCGAGGAGGCGGCCATAATGAAGGAGATGAAGCACCCCAATCTGGTGCAGCTCATAGGTGGGTTTTACTGATCAATTGCAGACTCATCCCCAGCTATGTTTCTGTTGAATGGTAGACTGATTCGATTGAATCCCCTTTTTAGGTGTTTGCACACGGGAACCGCCGTTCTACATCATCACCGAGTTCATGTCGCACGGCAATCTGCTGGACTTCCTGCGCTCCGCCGGCCGCGAGACGCTTGATGCGGTGGCGCTGCTCTATATGGCCACGCAAATAGCATCGGGAATGAGCTACCTGGAGTCGCGCAACTACATCCACCGCGATCTGGCCGCCCGCAACTGTCTGGTGGGCGACAATAAGCTTGTCAAGGTGGCGGACTTCGGGCTGGCGCGCCTGATGCGGGACGACACGTATACGGCGCATGCGGGTGCCAAGTTCCCGATCAAGTGGACCGCTCCGGAGGGACTGGCGTACAACAAGTTCAGCACCAAGTCGGACGTGTGGGCCTTCGGGGTGCTTCTGTGGGAGATCGCCACGTACGGGATGTCGCCGTATCCGGGCATCGACCTAACCGACGTGTACCACAAGCTGGAGAAGGGCTATCGCATGGAGCGGCCCCCCGGCTGTCCGCCGGAGGTCTACGACCTGATGCGCCAGTGCTGGCAGTGGGATGCCGCCGACCGGCCCACGTTCAAGAGCATACACCATGCGCTGGAGCACATGTTTCAGGTGGGTGACGTCGAGGTGTGGGACGATGAATATGACGATGATAACGATGATAACGATGATCACGACGATGCTGGCGAGGAGGCGAGTGACTACGACGGCGACGACGACGACGAACTGCAGCAGAACAGCGGCAGCATCCACAGCCATGTCCATAGCCATAGCCATAGCAATAGCCATAGGAATAGGAATAGGAGTAGTCATAGTCATAGCCACAGGCACCGCCACCACCTCGTCGACGCGCTCTGATCGCTCGAGATCGAGGGTGCAGCAAGTAGTGATAGCAATAATGAGCCACATGGTGCCCATCTCTCCTTCTCCGCTCCTCCGCAGGAATCGTCCATCACCGAAGCGGTCGAGAAGCAGCTGAACGCCAACGCCACCAGCGCGAGCAGCTCCGCTCCGAGCACATCGGGCGTGGCCACCGGCGGAGGAGCCACAACCACGACGGCGGCCAGCGGCTGCGCTTCCTCATCCTCGGCCACCGCCTCGCTCAGCCTCACACCGCAGATGGTGAAGAAGGGTCTGCCCGGCGGTCAGTCCCTCACGCCGAACGCCCACCACAACGATCCGCACCAGCAGCCGGCCAGCACGCCCATGTCAGGTGAGCTTGACCCTTTTGGTTTGAGTTTAATCCCAGTCTAATCCTGCCATATGCTTGCAGAAACCGGCTCCAGTTCCACCAAGCTCAGCACCTTCTCCAGCCAGGGAAAGGGCAATGTCCAGATGCGTCGCACCACCAACAAGCAGGGCAAACAGGCCCCAGCACCACCAAAGCGCACCAGGTAAGCCAACTCGTCCACAACAATGCGGAGGTTTAGTAGAAGCAATATTAGTGTTAACTGAAGATTTGCCAAATATACATATATTGCCACAGGAAAAATTAAATAGGGCAAATCAAAACTTAACATGAATTTGGTTTAGCAGTTGATTGAGTAATAAGCTAGTAATTTACAATATAATTTACCTCTTCTTTATCAAAACTATTGATTACTGCCTTTAAAATATAAATATGAATATGTGAAATTTATTTATTCAAAATACTGACAACTGCTTTTGAAATAAAACTGTTTCATTTAACTGTTTTTTATTCATGATCAAACGCCATACAAAAATGTTATGTGTAAAGTTTTTTTTTTATTAAAGAATATATTTATATATTTGAGGCAATATATTTAATAATAATTTAGGGATTCCTATTCTCCGCATTCATTTTGATGGCAAAAGTAACACAACTTCTTCTCTTCTTTTGCTTAGCCTGCTTTCGAGCAGTCGGGACTCCACTTACCGCGAGGAGGATCCTGCCAATGCACGAGGCAATTTCATCGATGACCTCACCACTAATGGTATACACAAATTCAAAACTGCCAATAGTTTCAGCCAGACCCTATCTAAAAATTTCAAGACCCAAATTCCAACACACCACACACACCAAATACGTACACAACAACAACAACAACAACAACAGTTCGTACAGCAACAATCCGTACCACTGCCAGTACAGCAACAACATCAACAACATCAACAACAACAACAACAGAAACAACAACAGTATTCCATTAAGAAATCGTCCTCCTGCAGTAGCTTTCTTTACGACATCCTATTTCGAGGTATTTTGTCAACGGAGAACACAGCGAAAAACTCCAATTCAAAAATGTTTTACTTTTATCTTCGGTTTCTGTATTATTTGTTTCGTGTTTCGTATTTATGTTTTATTATTAATGGTTCGTTTGTATTGGCTTAAGTTTCTGTATTTATTGGTTGTTCAATGCGTGATACCTTTAAGTTTCCATTTCGCATTGGTAATTTAAGTTTAAAAGTTGATTTCTCGTCGATGATTTCCTAATGTTATATCTTTATTTCTGTTACCTGTCTTATCATTAACACTATTCACAAAAAATATTTCTAACAATCTCTCTATCCTGTTTTGTTTACTTAATTTGGTGCCTGTTATTATTAAGTTGTCTGTTATATCAATCATTCATATTTATTTATATTTTGTTGTCCAATTGTTTTATGTCCTTAAAAGTGATTTATATTGTTTTTATCCTTGTTTTTTTATTATGTTTATACTCTATTCTATTTAAACAAAACTATAGATGGAAACAACCTAGAGTGTTAATTTTTATGGACTTATAACATTGTTATGTGTTTTTTTGTCTGAACAAAAACTACAAATCCTTTCAAGGTTGTAATAGACATTTACCTCTCATTGTTCTTTGTTAGATTTTAATATTGGTGTTTTTTAGTTTCACCCGCTCGACAAACATCAACGCACACATACACACCACAAGACTTTGGTCAGGATTAACTCATGTCTAACAATCAGTGATGGGAAGTACCAGGCTTCCATTACTTTCAATAATTGTTTATTTAACCATACAAAGAATGGAAAGAATGATTTCAAGATTTAATAGGATTTCCCATCACTGATAAGTACCATCACCTAGCATCAAGCACCCGGCACGAAGCATTCAATTAACCATCACAAAACGAAACTCAAATGAACCCTTGTTTTTCTGTTTCTTTCTGATTGATTTACCAGGACTCGCACGTGACATCAACAGTTTGACACAGCGTTATGACTCGGAAACGGATCCTGCAGCCGATCCGGACACAGATGCCACGGGTGATAGTCTGGAGCAGAGTTTGAGCCAAGTGATCGCCGCTCCTGCCACCAACAAGATGCAGCATTCTCTCCACGGCGGCGGCGGCGGTGGAGGAGGTATTGCTCCTCGATCATCGCAGCAGCACAGCTCGTTTAAGCGTCCGACTGGGACGCCAGTGATGGGCAACCGGGGTCTGGAGACCCGCCAAAGCAAGCGCTCGCAGCAGCATCCGCAAACCAGTGCTCCACCACCGCCAGCAACTCAAGCGCATCATGGCAACAACGGAGTGGTGGCCAGCGCTCATCCCATCACCGTGGGCGCACTGGAGGTGATGAATGTGAAGCGGGTGGTGAATCGCTACGGCACGCTGCCCAAGGTGGCCAGGATCGGTGCGTATCTGGACAGTTTGGAGGACAGTGGTGAGGCCACTACTGCTCCTCCGCCAGCCACTGCTCCTGCTCCGCCGCCAGCCAACGGACATGCCACACCACCGGGGGCCCGGATCAATCCCAAGACCAGCCCCATTGCGCCACAGCAAATGATAAGGAGCAACTCCTCAGGCGGAGTGACCATGCAGAACAATGCGGCGGCCAGTCTGAACAAGCTGCAGCGCCATCGCACCACCACCGAAGGCACCATGATGACATTCTCCTCCTTCCGGGCGGGTAACTCCAGCAGTTCACCCAAGCGGAGTGGCTGTGGAGTGGGTCCTGTTGGCGCCCAGCCGGCTCTTGCCAATCTGGAGTTTCCGCCGCCACCGCTGGACCTGCCTCCACCCCCCGAGGAATTCGAGGGTGCACCACCACCTCCTCCTCCGGCGCCCGAGAGCGCTGTGCAGGCCATCCAGCAGCATCTGCATGCCCAGCTCCCGAACAATGGCAATGTCAGCAATGGAAACGGCACAAACAACAACGACAGCAGCCACAACGATGTGAGCAACACTGCGCCCAGTGTGGAGGAGGCCAGCTCCAGATTTGGTGTGTCCCTGCGAAAGAGGGAGCCCTCAACCGACTCCTGCAGTTCGCTGGGCAGTCCGCCCGAGGATCTCAAAGAGAAGCTGATCACCGAGATCAAAGCGGCCGGCAAGGAGAGTGCTCCGGCCTCGCATCTAGCCAATGGCTCTGGTATCGCAGCCGTGGATCCCGTCTCTCTGCTGGTCACCGAGCTGGCCGAGAGCATGAATCTGCCCAAGCAGCCGCAGTCGCAGCCGACGCTGCCACAGCAGCAGCAGCAGAAGCTGACCAATGGCAACGGCTCAGGAACCGGATCCGGATCTGGATTCAAGGCTCAGCTCAAGAAAGTCGAACCCAAGAAAATGAGCCCGCCAATGGCCAAGGCGGAGCCGGCCAGTAGCATCATCGACTTCAAGGCACACCTGCGACGGGTGGACAAGGAGAAAGAGCCGTCGGTTCCAGCACCGGCACCCGCAGCGCCCCAACTCGTAACCAACAACGCCAACACGGGCACTCTGAACCGGAAGGAGGACAGTAGTAGGAAGTTCGCCCAGGCCATGCAAAAGACTGAAATAAAAATCGACGTTACCAACTCGAATGTGGAGGCGGACACGGGAGCAGCCGGCGAGGGCGATCTCGGCAAGCGACGAAGCACAGGTAGTATTAATAGCTTAAAGAAACTGTGGGAGCAGCAGCCGCCGGCGCCGGATTATGCCAGCAGCTCGATCCTCCAGCAGCAGCAGCAGCCATCGGTGGCTAATGGCGGTGGCACACCGAATGCCCAGCTATCGCCCAAATACGGTATGAAATCGGGTGCCCTGCCAGCCAAGCCGGGCAATAAGCCGCCTCCGGCAGCCCCACCACCACCGCCCCCGAACTGCACCAACTCCAACTCCTCCAACACCACATCCACTAGCACCTCTAGTAGAGATTGCACCAGCAGGCAGCAGGCCGGCAGCACAATAAAAACCTCTCATTCAACGCAACTCTTCACAGATGACGAGGAGCAGTCGCATCAGGAGGGCCCAGGATCGGGATCCGGATCGGGATCGGGATTAGGTGGCCAAGGTCCAGCGGACATGACCCAGTCGCTGTACGAGCAGAAGCCGCAAATCCAGCAGAAGCCGGCGGTGCCGCACAAGCCCACCAAACTCACCATCTACGCCACGCCGATAGCCAAACTGGCCGAACCGGCCAGCTCCGGATCGGCCAGCTCCACCCAGATCTCGCGCGAGAGCATCCTCGAGCTGGTGGGTCTACTGGAGGGCTCGCTCAAGCACCCGGTGAACGCCATCGCCGGCTCCCAGTGGCTGCAGCTGAGCGACAAGCTCAACATCCTGCACAACTCGTGCGTGATCTTTGCGGAAAACGGGGCCATGCCGCCGCACTCGAAGTTCCAGTTCCGTGAGCTGGTCACGCGGGTGGAGGCCCAGTCGCAGCACCTGCGATCCGCCGGCAGCAAGAACGTGCAGGACAACGAGCGCCTGGTGGCCGAGGTGGGTCAGTCGCTGCGCCAGATCTCCAATGCGCTCAACAGGTAAATAATAAGACGGGGGATGGACGCGCCCGATCAACATCCGGGCATTTGGCTGGATGCCGAGGGCAACTTCATCAAGCGCAAGTGATGGGCCCCATCTGCAGTGACCCAATCATCATCCAACCACACCATCCCCCGTGGAAGCGGAAATGGAGCCGAAGACAGAGACGGAGACAGCGAGGCTGAGCCGGAAACAGCGAGGCTGAGCCGGAAACAGGAAAACAGGAATCGAAACTTCAAGCCCAGCGAAGAAGAAAGGACAACTACAGTAGCAGCAGCAACTAAAATCGGAGGAGGACACCTATGTATCGTACTTGGTAGCGTGTAGCAGTAGCTTCTATTATACATATACACCCCATATATATCTAGTCAGATCTGTGCAGAGCCCCGACGAACGCTTCCAGAAAAACAGAAAAAAACATAAAACAAAAAACAAAACAAGAAACTTAAATGAAAATGAAAACAGAACGATAAAAAACTGAAAAACAATGAGTTGCAAAGCAAATTTGGGTAAGGTCTCGCGGGAGGATCCTTGTTTTTAATTTAAAAAGTAAGGGAACCCCTCCTCCCACTCACTCAACCCCCTTTCCAACGTATCCTCAAACGTATTCGCGCTTCGTTTGTTTTAATATAGAAAGACACAAGACATGGCTTAAGAATGAAAGGAAATATATTCATAGAATATCTCAATAAACTTAGTAATTACAAAGAAAACGCAATGCATATATACATATACATACATATATTTACATATACTAGTCGTAAAATGTTTTATTATACCTATACATTTACATACTTCTACAAGATAAAAAGATATAAAAGATAATGATATTATTATAAATCGAAAGACCACGAGACACTCCCCCTTTTTTGAGAAAACGGAATCGAAATCGGAAACGGATACTGAACTTGATATTCTTCGGAAGGCGTAGGCGCGACATCTTTTCGATCGTGTGTTCTAAGGCCCGCACGCAGCATACATATATGTCTATGATCATGATCTTATATGTACTCGACGTATCCATTACATATACAGTAGCAAAGCCCAAAGATATTATTATTAACTGATAACTACAACTACTACTACTCAAATTGATATGTTTAGTGGCAAAGACTAAATTGATTTATGTTTAATCTATGTTCGAGTACGAGGCGCATCGAAATGCTTTTAGACGTATTACACAACCAATTGTAATTATTATCTAATATTTTCAAGGATTTTAAACAACTTTTATACGTAAACAAAAATCACAAAAAAAAATAAAACAAAAACCAAATAAAATTTATTTCAAAATAAACGAAACAAAAATTAAGGCTAGGGGCAGCCTGTAACAATACGCAGGGCGGTCAAACCTACAGATATAATTATAAATATTGATGTGCATACAATATATTGCCTTTCCATTAACCCCCAAGTCCTCTTCTTGGATCCCGAATCGAAAAATGGGCTAACACACAGCTGGCAAGACGAAAACGAAGTGTTGCCCAATATACACACAAATATATTTCTGTAACTTCTATGATACACCAAGCGCCTGATATGCGCTGCAGAATAATATCTAAAACGAAAACGGATCAAAAACAAAGTACTTCAATGAGAAATAAAAACGATATTTAAAGAATTCAAAATGCCTTGTTTTAAGATGTTTTATTAAAAATGCTGTAGGAACAGCTGGGAAGGCCAATTCCAACTTAGTACAACTATGTACGTTTATTCGGGACTATAATTTGATTGTGGATTCTATTTCAAATGGATTCGCGAACACCTAAATACTTTATTGAATAATGGATGTATTTTTTTGACCACAAATCCATATTTCATAATTATACGTTCGACTTATAATTTTGATCGAGCACCGCAAAAGATATTTTAAAATTGAGATAACCATTTGGCAATGAATGTTGTAAATTCCGTTAAAATTATTTTAGTTACATGCTGTTTTAATTGGGGATATCGGATACAAGGAAAAATAAAATGTTGAGTTCAGTCTTTATCCGGTTAAAAATAAAGTCTAAAAAAACAGTTGAATGTTGATCTTGATCAGCAACATTTGCACCATAGAATAAATGGTTTACAATATCTTAATAAAATATGCTCCCTATGGTACTGGAATAAATCTTAAATAAAAAATTAAAGTGATTGAAATTAAAGGTTTTAATTTAAAAGGCCCGTTTAGTTGCTGTCCCTTTACAACACTGGCTCTGCCAGCCGTGCCGTGCGACTTTGCGATAGGCCTATCGAATCGACGGCCAATCGAAATTGTTCATCCCTAGAAGAAGACAAGAAAAAGACGAAATAATATATAATAATAGAATATTCCACCGTGATAATATTGCCAAGCATTGTTTTCCGCGTCTTCGCCGTCGGTAACTGGGCAACTCTCGAAGCGACCACAAAGCCAGCACCTCAAGGGCCCCGAACAGCAGGATAATACGGCAGAAGATACGAGACATCGTCGACAGCCCAACCACATCCACATCCACAACCGAACCGAACCGAATCACAAAATCAAAATCCAAAACCAATTTCGAGTGAAAAGACAGCGAAGCAGCCAGCGGAATGCCACTGTTCGGGAAGTCACAGAAGTCGCCAGTGGAGCTGGTCAAGTCACTGAAGGAGGCGATCAACGCCCTGGAGGCGGGCGACCGCAAGGTGGAGAAGGCCCAGGAGGACGTCAGCAAGAATCTGGTCTCGATCAAGAACATGCTGTACGGGAGCAGCGATGCCGAGCCGCCGGCGGACTACGTGGTGGCCCAGCTGTCGCAGGAGCTGTACAACAGCAACCTGCTGCTGCTGCTCATCCAGAACCTGCACCGCATCGATTTCGAGGGCAAGAAGCATGTGGCCCTGATATTCAACAATGTGCTGCGCCGCCAAATTGGCACACGCTCGCCCACCGTCGAGTACATCTGCACGAAGCCGGAGATCCTGTTCACCCTGATGGGCGGTTACGAGGATGCGCATCCGGAGATCGCCCTCAACTCTGGCACCATGCTGAGGGAGTGCGCCCGGTACGAGGCGCTGGCCAAGATCATGCTGCACTCGGACGAGTTCTTCAAGTTCTTCCGCTACGTGGAGGTGTCCACCTTCGACATTGCCAGCGATGCCTTCTCCACGTTCAAGGAGCTGCTCACGCGCCACAAGCTGCTGTGTGCCGAGTTCCTGGACGCCAACTATGATAAGTTCTTCTCGCAGCACTACCAGCGGCTGCTCAACTCTGAGAACTATGTGACGCGGCGACAGAGCTTGAAGCTGCTGGGCGAACTGCTGCTGGACCGGCACAACTTCACCGTGATGACGCGCTACATTTCCGAGCCGGAGAACCTCAAGCTGATGATGAACATGCTCAAGGAGAAGTCGCGCAACATCCAGTTCGAGGCGTTTCACGTCTTCAAGGTGTTCGTGGCGAATCCCAACAAGCCGAAGCCCATCCTGGACATCCTGCTGCGCAACCAAACGAAGCTGGTCGACTTCCTGACCAACTTCCACACGGATCGCTCCGAGGACGAGCAGTTCAACGACGAGAAGGCCTATCTGATCAAGCAGATAAAGGAGCTGAAGCCGCTGCCCGAGGCTTAGTTGGACCTGGACATCAGCTTCAGCTTCAACTTTAGCTTCAACTGCAGCTCCAACTCCAGCTCCAGCGTCCCAGGGGCAAAAGGACCGTAACCAGAAGCGATCGAAACGGAAGCAGAAAGAGTGATGGTGGGTTAGCAGGATGTGAACATGTTTTGTGTGTGGGTTAAAGCAAATATATATTATATATACTATATTTTGTGACGATGATGACTCTACACTTGTGAGTAACTAAACAATAATTTAGACAACAACAACACTGATGATAATGATAAATAACGATAAAGCGAATTAGAAAACAACAAAAGTACGAGTAAATAGCGTAAAGCCGAAAAAAAAAAAACGAAAGCGAGTTTCGAATTTAACATAGCCACATCTAGACATTCTGGGCCTTGAGATCCACTATCTTACTTGATATGTTTTACCATCCTTTGGTCCTCCGCTAATCCTTATTGCCTAGACCCATTTTCGATATCTATTTAACTAGTTGTTGTATTTGAAATTTAAACGTTTTTGAAACGAGAGATACTTCACCTCCAAGACCTGCCACGCCCTCTTTACGCCCCCAAAAAAAAAAACTGAAGATTCACAATGAGTTTTGAATTAAAAATGTAATTCCACGCAAAATTCATGAGAAAACGAAAACTAAATACTGCATAATAATAATTTATAGTGATAATTGTCCTTGCATCCTTTGGCATGGACTCTATTATATATATATACCGATATATATATATATATATATAGAAAGAGAGAGAGAGAGAGCATTCAACACACACACTCACAACACACATGCATACGTACATAGTTAAAAGGGAAGTAAAACAAACGAAAACAACAACATTGCAAGCAACATAATAACTATACGATTATTATAATTTATATTATTCCCAAATTAAAGATAACAGCCAAACTAAACATCGGCTTTTTGATGGTGGAAGGTGTTTTCAAAGGGGGGCGTAGAGCTTTCGCCCTGAGTCATGTGCAAAAAATCGTGCCAGGGCGGCAGCCTCTCCCAAAAAACGACGATCAAGGGCTGGGCAGTTCTTAAACTTACGGGAATGACTAAGAAACCTCTAGAGGTTTGAAATTACCGGGCTTCCGGCAAGAATTTTCAAATCTCTTGAGATTTCTGTGGAAACCCCCATAGATATCTTTTATTTTTCGCTTAATATATGTATGTATGTATGCATTCGAGTTTACTTATGCTAACTATGGGCTAAGGAATGATAGATCTACCGGCGCTTCTTTTTCTCCAGCTTGCGAATCTTGTGCAGTCGCGTCCGTACTGGCTCACCCTCCCGTTCCGCCACATCGCCGGACTCCTGATTACTGTCCGGATTATTTTCCATCAGCACTGCGGCTGAGATGCATACGAACTGGAACAGGGCGCCCACATAAAGTCCGTATCGGATCACCAGGCTGAAGATGTCCTCGTCGCCGTACTTGTCCAGTGCGGCCAGACCCTCCGCAGATGCCGACATTCGGTTCGGTTTTGTTTATAAACAAATTTTGAGAGGATGGTAAAAAAAAAACAACTTTGAAAAGTTCGATGGATTCGTGTTTTTTTTTTGTATCGACTAGAGATTATACAGCTTGCGTGCTGCCCTGGTGCCAACTATCGATAAAATAATTTTAACAATTTTGCTAGCTAAAATTAAGATTATCAATTGAGTAATTATTAATCAAATTAGAAAAAATGTTTGCTCTTAAATTAAGATTACCAATTGAGTTATTTCTTACTCTAAAATAAAGAAAAAAACGGTAAAATTATTAATTATTTAATGTTATAATTGTTAAGGAAAAGCCAACATAGCTAAATTTGGCTGGCGGAAAAGAACACATCTCTAGCGCATATCGATAAGTATCCCCTCCCATTCCTAACTCGTTCTAGTCGCGAATTAACAATCGCTAACTTTTGCATAATATTTAGTATTAGTCAAAACAAAGGTGCAAATTATGTCATGTTTTCGGCTGGCGACTGCCACCGTCCTAACTGGTGTCCGTCCTCCGCCGGCGGGAAGCGGAAGCGTAGCCCTGCGCCTGCTGACCCGTAAACAAAACCCGGAATTTGCATTTGCTCGCCGCCAGTTTGCACAAGCGGTGGAAAACGGCGGAGCCAAGAAGAAGCCGAATGGAACCTTTAAGCTGGCTATTTTGGGGGCGACAGTGGGCGCAGCCGCAGGATCGGTGTACACCATGTACCAGCGCTGGACGGACGGCAGTTCGCACAAGGAGCACGAGGAGACTAAGCCGCAGTGTCTGGGCGGAGTTCCGGCAGGTGTGCGGATAACCAAGCGCTATGTGAACCCCAAGGACAACTCCGGACTGGACATTGTGCTGTTCCAGTTCCAGACGTGTCCCTTCTGCTGCAAGGTGCGCGCCTTCCTCGACTACATGGGCATCTCCTATGCGGTTGTCGAAGTGGACGCCGTTCTCCGGCAGGACATCCGCTGGTCGTCGGTGAAGAAGGTGCCCATGGTGCTTATTCGGCAGCAGGACGGCCAATACGTGCAGATGGTGGACTCCAGTGCCATCATATCTCTGATAGCCACCTATCTGCAGGACAAGCGCACGGACATCGGCGAACTGGCGCAGTACTATCCGCACACATCCTTCTTCGATGATGATGGCAAGAAGAAGAACGACATATTAAACAAATATTTCCTCATGTATCGGGAAAACACGCCAAAGGGAGTGTCCAAGGAAACGGAGGAGTAAGTTCACCAGATACCTTTTTTAGGATAGAACACATCCCTAAAATAGGAAGCTTACAAAAGGATCTTCTTTTTTAAGGACCGATCGCAAGTGGAGATCCTGGGCTGACAGCCACCTGGTGCACCTGATATCGCCGAACTGCTACCAAACCATGGGTGAGTCCCTGGAGACTTTCGAGTGGTTCTCGCAGGCCGGCGAGTGGGATGTCCACTTTCCCAAGTGGGAACGCAACCTGATGGTCTACTGTGGCGCCACCGCCATGTGGGCCATTGCCAAGATGCTAAAGCGTCGCCACGCCCTCACCGACGACGTCCGGTCGCACATGTACGACGCGCTGGACCAGTGGACTGCCGAACTGAAAAAACGAAATACGAAATTCATGGGCGGCAAACAGCCCAGCCTGGCTGATCTCTCTGTTTTCGGCGTCCTCAGCAGCATGGAGGGTTGTCAGACGTTTAAGGATTGCCTGCAGAACACTAGCATTGGTAAGTATTGTCTTACCAAGTTGGCCAATTATTTCGAGCCTTCATTGATATTTTTTTGTTTTTAATGTAGGAAAGTGGTTCTATGATGTCAAGGCGTTGGTGGAAAAGAATCGAGGGCATTTGCATAGGGAACGCGTCGAAGGCCTGGCCGCTATAGCTTAGAAGAAATCATCTGCACCAGTTTTATCCAAAGATTGTTGAAAATAACCGAACTGTTCAATAAAAGATTCATCTTTTATCCAAATCTGTTTTGCCGTTTTTCAAACATTAATATAAGTGCTATTTATTAATAATATATAATAAATTCGAAACATATTTTAATTTTAAATAAATTAAAAAAAAAAAAATAAAAATATCTAGTACATAAATACCAAATACCTATTGATAACTATTCGGAGCAGACAAAGCACGAAATCGTTTTTCCCTACTTCACCTACGGCCACACTGAATTTGTGATTTTGGTTAGCCGCTGTAAACTTGCAAATCATTTCGTTCGTTTTTTTTACTTGGCAAGTTAATTGGTAAATTTAAAGAACAAACATGAGCAGTCTTGGCTTTGAGCAGTTCCCAGACTACCAGGTGCCCGGCGTGAAGCATGTCGACTTCTCGCCCTATGAGTCGAACGGCGGGTGAGTTAGATTTTCCCCAAGAATGCCCGGCTGAAGTCTTCAACTGACCGGAGTGGTTTCCTTTTTGCAGCTCCATTGTGGCCATCGCCGGAGACGACTTCGCGGTGATTGCGGCAGACACACGGTTGAGCAGCGGCTACAACATCCACTCCCGGAGTCAAAGCAAGCTCTTCAAGCTGTCGCCTCTGACGGTCCTGGGCTCCACGGGATGCTGGGCGGATACCCTTTCCCTGACCGGACTGATGAAGGTGCGCATGCAGAGCTACGAGCACACCCATCTGCGCACCATGACCACGGATGCAGTGGCCCAGATGCTATCCATCACCATGTACAATCGCCGCTTCTTCCCGTACTACGTGTCCAACATCCTGGCGGGAATCGACAAGGACGGCAAGGGCGTCGTCTACTCGTACGATCCCATTGGCCACTGCGAAAAGGCCACCTACCGCGCCGGCGGCACTGCCGGTACATTGTTGCAGCCGGTACTGGACAACCAGATTGGCTACAAGAACATGAACTTGGCCGCCAGCGAGGTGCCCAAGCTGACCAAGGAGCGCGCCGTCAGTGTCGCCTCCGATACCTTCATTTCGGCCGCTGAGCGTGACATCTACACCGGTGACTCCGTGCTGATCAACATTATCACCAAGGATGGCATCGAAGTCAAGGAGCTGACGCTGCGCCAGGACTAGGCTAGGTCGCGGATGGGCGTCTCATTTGGTCAGGGGCATTGAATGGAAATCAGGCATTCTAAGTTGGCTTCAAATTTTTGTAATTACCCGAAATAACACACATCGTAATAAACTGAATCTTTAAGATTTCAAATATGCTTCTCAGTGTGACCAGAGTTTGCTGGTCGTCGATTCACATGGTTTGGAACACACAGCAATGGCCAATTTAATAGCACTCTAAATGTGAGTTTATTAAATTCTACATGGTCATGTATATTTTAGACTTAAAAAAGGAAACTTTGCAAGCTTGGTTATAGTTTTTGTTTATAAAATTAAATTTTCTCTCACACAAAAAAGATTACTGACCATACTATGACTTTTAGCGCTAATTTAATGACCGTTGGTGCACGTAAACAATAACATTTGTTTGTGAGAGCATTTACTCCGATGACGAGTTCCGAGTTCGCGCTGCTGTCGTTTCTTTGTTTGCTACCATTATTGCAAAACTCCCTGACCTCCGCCCAGATGATGTCCTCGCTGGTGAAGCCGGGCATCTTCCGGCACTTGATGTGCCGTAACAACATGTACCCACGCAGCTCCGTCCTTCGGTTCCCGGTGTCCGATGAGCAGGTCTTCTGGTCGGAACCGTATGCGGATTACTGCCCACCGGCGTACACGGCGCCGCACATTGGTGGACAGGTGTGGGCTGACCCTCCCCTGCCAAGCGAGGTGTTCCGTCCGCAGTGGAACCAGCTGGATGGTCAGGTCAACCGCGAGTCCTTCCACGGGGCATACAAGTTGCGTGATGGCCTACCCCTTAACCCCATCGGACGCACTGGACTGAGCGGGCGAGGCTCACTGGGCAGATGGGGACCCAATCATGCCGCTGATCCTATAGTGACTCGTTGGAAGCGAAACGATCAAGGAGCACTCGTGGCCAACCCCACCACTGGCAAGTGGGTGAGCTCAATTATTTATAGACTGCGTAAAACTCACACTCCTTTTTTTCAGGAATGTGCTACAGATGGTAGCCATCCAGCGGTCGGACAACAAATTGTGGGCCATTCCCGGCGGCATGGTAGATCCCGGCGAGAATGTGAGCGTCACCCTCAAGCGGGAGTTCACCGAGGAGGCGCTGAACTTCACAGATAAGGCGAATATGGTGGAACAGTTCTTCCAGGACGGCGGCGTCCAGGTATACCAAGGCTACGTAGACGATTTCCGCAACACGGACAACGCGTGGATGGAGACCACGGCGCTCAACTTCCACGATGAGGACGGGAGCCAGGTGGGCCAACTGGAGCTAATGGCAGGCGACGATGCCACCAATGTGCGCTGGACGGATGTTGACTCGGGTCTCAAGCTGCACGCCAATCATGCGGACATCGTCCGGGAGGTGGTTATCCGTCGAAATGCTCACTGGTAAAAGCCAGCACCAGCCATACGAAAACTCAGATTTAAATATTGAAATATACATTTTTTAAAAAGTTTTATGAACTTTTATTAAATCTCAAAATTTTGGTTGGAACTCACAAATGAATTTATATTCACCCCTTAATATAGTGGATTTTTTTTATGCAATAAACAAATCGAAAGCCAAACATTTTTTTAGGTAAAAGTTTTCTTTTATTTTTTTTGTTAAAGTTGAAATGAAAATAATTTGTCTTTTCAAGCAAAAGAACGTATGAGTGATTAACAAACAAATATCAATTGGGTTACAGCAAAAGTTTAATTTTTTAATGTTCAAACTACTTAATGTACAAAAGAATTTCAACCGATTATAACAACTGGTGTCTTTGCAACCAAATCTGCGAAATACATCCGCAAAATGAAACACATATCATTCTTTATTGTTTCTTTTATTTCAGACTATTCATACATACATATTCATGTGTCACTGGGTGTTGCTATAAATTAGAAAATATTTTACCGTTGCTTCACGGTTTGGTAGAAAAAACTACAACTTGCAATTTTAAAGATCGCTTTACCTAAATTTTGAACCGCCACAGAGCATACTAACGCAAAACTAAAACCTAAAGTTTAATTCTTAGCCGAGACAAATCTATTCCGAAGCTAGCTCGGCAGAACTGCAGTTCTGATGCATCATATCCAAATCCAGAGGCTGCGGGCGGAGGTCTCGGATTAGTAATGTTGGCTGGGGATGTGGGTCGTAAGCCGTGTGCTGGTATGTGTGTAATGTGTGTGTGTGTGTGTGTTCTTACAGGGTGTTGACATAGTTGAACACATCCGGGCTCGAGTTAGACACTTCGTTGAACTTGTCCGGATAATGTTCGCGAATCTCCTTAATGAAGCAGAGCGCGCTTTCGATGGTCTGGTCGTCCGTCATCTGTTTCTTGTAAAGCGACTCGATGGTGATAATCAACATCTGGCCAAGGAAGTTCTCTATGCTGGGGCGAGCCTGCAAGTAGAGCACGCGGAACGCTTTTTGGATAACATCGTTCTCCACAACGTCCTCCTTCAGCGGCAGATGGTTAAGGAAGACGGGCAACACATGCCCAAGCGGTACCGCCGAATGGTTGGTGACAATTAGACGCGCCACTGCTCCGCAAATGTTGTCCATGGCGGAATCATTTGTCTCCCTGGCGATCGCATCGGAAAGTGCTTGGAGGATTGCCGGATATGACCTGCGAATGGAAGGTTCAGTAATCATGATATACATCCAATTCAACAGTACTTACTCAAATGATTTCTCCTCGGCACTAATGACAATCTCGCCCAGTGCATAATATGAGTTCTGTCTCGCCTTGGGATCCGAGTCCTTGGTTCCGGCAATGAACAGGGGGCACACTACGTCAAAATAGGTGACCGTTTGTTTGCGCAGCGACTGGAAACAGTCGGCCAGAGCGCCATAGATATATGCCCGGTGCTCCGGTATGTCTTGCTTCTTGGCCTTAGCCTACAAGAGACAAATGTAATTGAAGAATACGGTTTGAATAATTCTACAAACTATTAAATCATGGCCAAGGAGAGCAATCTCTGCTCAAGACAATTCTCCATGCCATGATTGAGGGGTATTTTCTACCAGTTTGCGTACCAGTTTTTGCACATAGAACTGAAGGAGGCGACCGAAATAAAGCGAGAACGTCTCCGGCTGGAGGGTATGACCGAACATGGGCAGCAGGTTGGCAGCGTTCTCGATCAGCGTGTCATTGAACTCGCTGTCCTCCACATCCTCCTCATCGCCGCCACCCTGCTCGTTGAATTGACAGGCCATTTTGTTGAGGAAGACGTCCCTGATGATACCGAAGATCAGTTCGGCGTTTTCCTGATTAGTTATGGCTGCCAGTTTTACTTCCTTAAAGAAATCGGCCAGCTCATCGAGGAGATGGATGACCACGGTCACCTCCTCGTCGGTGCGAATGATTTGTGCGAACTTCGGAATGGCAATCTCGCAGGCGCGCGTCACGCCCGCAGCATCGCCCATCTTGTTGAGAGCGATGATGAATCCGCAGATGGCACTGACGCACGATTTGCGGATCTCCTCCTGCGGATGATCAATCACTTTGTAAACGTTCTCGAACGCCGACTGCAGATAGGGTGCGAAGGCAACGCCCGTGTTTGCGGCGAACTCCTTGAGTGCTGATATGGCCTCATCCTTCTCGATGACATAGTCGTTCTCCACCTGGTAGCCGTCCAGGTCCTCAGAGTCATCCTCGTCGTCCGTGTGCTCCAGATCGATTTCCACATTGGCTGCATCCAGGATCAAATCCCCGTCGGCGTTCTTCGGCATATTGGGCAGCACATCCTCCGAGGATATTACCGACTCCAGTATACGATCCATAATCTTGGGGAACACAGACGCCATGCTCTCCTTGACCACCAACGACAGAGAGCCCATCAGGTTATAGATGGACCTTCGGAAGTCGGGATCATCGGGGCCGTCTTCCAGCATCAACAGGCAGAAGTTCATTGTGTCATCGGCCAGCGGAATGAAGTTTTCCTTGCCCACTTCGCGAGTGAGCGCGGCTAGAGTGTCGATGGCCTCGATGCGCAAGTTGTTCATTTCCTCGGGGCAATCCTTTACCAGACAGGCCTGCAGTATGGTCATGATCCTGGGGAAGAACGGCATCATGTGCTCCTTTGCGGAGCTGGACGCCGCAGCAATGCTCGACAGAGCCAACTCACGAATACGTGCCGAGTGCTGGGGGTCCAGAATCTCAAAAAGACTGTATAATAGGATTGTTAGACGGAGAACCTTCATTTCCCACTACTCAAGCCTTACCGATCCATCAGTACGGGCAAATGTTGCACAATGTCTTCCTGCAGATTCTCGCAGAAAGACTCCAGAGCATAGAACATACGTTCCATGTGCTTCGGTTCCGGCTGGCCCATCTGTAACGACTCGGGTTTAGTACACTCCTGACCATCAATGTGTTTTGTGTTTGGGTGCAGAGTGAGTGTCAATGAATGGTAACTAAATATAAATTGGATTTGTTACAATGAAATCGGACTCCTCTATATTATGACCGGCTTTTGGTATTAAATTATTTCTCATTATGATTTCAAATATTCTTCAAAGAGCTTTTGATAGTGTATGCTTACAATAAGACTAAAATAAAAAAAATGACACTGTCCGTTCAAAAGGGGCTTCAATATATGCATAGGTTGTGGATGAAGTGCAATTAAATATCAAAGTTAAACGTAAGACAAAAAAGAAGCACCCTATACTTGGTGAGGACCGATTTGCGCTTGATCTGTAACTTGTCTAAGTACATTATAGTATCTTTGGCAGGGACGGAAGCGGGATGGCTCCCGTTGCTTTTTCGGTCAGCCTTAGAAGCAGCACAAACAAACAAACAAACAAACGAGAATGTAGAATACGAAGAAATTCCAATTCGACCATAGATGGTCAACGGGACTACCTACCTTGAGTTCCACAACCAGCTGGCTCAGATATTCGAATAACACGGGCAGAATCTGGGATGCAAATTTGGAAATGGCCGGCTGCAAGTACTCGGCGAACTGGCCAAGGGCGAAGAAGGCGGAGACGCGCACCGACATCGTGGCATCATTGATGCCTGCTTTGACGATGTTCAGCATGACCTCCAGATACTTGTTGCTGATGGCCTCCGCGAAGCCTTCGGCGATGACACCCATGCAAATGAACGAGGATCGCCGGGAAACTGGATCCGG